CTCCTTCCCATGTCTACACGAGGCGTTTGCTCGCCGATTTCGGTTAAGGACGGCACACGCGACAAGTTTCCAGAATAGACAATGCCAACATCCTGGCGTGTTCAAAGCTGGGATGATGAAGGCTGATAAAGGCTGATGAAGGCTGAGGAAGACTGATGAAGGGCTGAAGGGGCTGATGAAGGCTGAACCGATCTCGTGATCCCTTCAGAGCGCGGGCGCAGCCTTGTAGACGCCAGCTCGGACGGATCCATTGATGAGGCCGTGGTCTGAGCCCATGCCGCATTGCCCACAGGATCGCTGCCCCAAGCAATGCAGCATCTTAGTCAAGGAGGAACTCAAGCCTTGAGAGACGACCAGCATGTCAGTCGCCTGGGCATGGTGGTCGTCAAAGCTTTCGGCTGTCTTCCATAGGCCCGGACCGCATCGCGGAGATGCAGGCGAACACGACCCGTGCTGCAGTTTGCAGTTATCCGAAAGCCTGTGCAAGCGCACACTTTCCCACAAAGAAGCGACAGACTCTGAAACATTAGCATCACCAGCCTTCCACTCCAATGGGGATGGCCAGGGGTATGCCTTTGCAAGCACCACAAGAGCATTCATTGCTGACAATGCTGACGCGGGCCATGCTGAGAAACGCGCTCTGATTTGCCAGCACATTCACGTACGTGTGGCCAAAGCCCCCACTGCAACCTGCCAACTTTATGCCAAATGGGCTGCTCTATGTTGCTCCTGCACAATTTCCCGTCGCACTGCTGGTCCGCGCACGTAGCTCGACAAACAGAGCTCAAAAGCATGTGGCAGCTGAAACCAAGCCAGGCAGACCAAAGACAACCGGTGAGGTCCGGTAAGTGTTGGCTGGGCATTCCTGCAAGGGGAGATGTACATGACTCAAGCCAGGACAATGAGCGCTTGCTGGATAGCTGAGAAGTTACTGAGAACCCGTCAAGGCAGAGTACGAACCGTTTTTACCACCTTTTCTTTCGGTTCACCCTGTCGTCGATACATATCGATCACCGAACCATAACATCCGTGGCGAAATCTTTGAGGGTACGCCGACTGTGCAGCGATCGGATGCCCCTTTCTTATGCGCACGAACAATACTCAGTGACATTGGTTTGCTTGCTTCCATGAAGCTTCCGGATTTGCAATGTTTGCTGTCCATCCATATCCGGAAAGTAGATTCCGATGTGAAGACGACCGCCAGCGATAGGCAAGCTGTCTTCCGCCATACCAGCAGATTTGATTGGCAGCCAGGGGTCGGTCAGAATAGCTTCGTTTTTTTTTGAAGCGCGAACCTCGCAAGCTTCAGGCTTCAAGCTTCAAAAGTGAAGCTTGCGAGCTTCAGCAAAACTTCTTTGCGAGCTTCAGAAGTTCAGAAACTCAGGCTTCAACCGAAGCTCACGAGCTTCAGAGCTTCAGAAATTCCATCCGTTTCACGAACCAGCGTGGACTGTCGATGCGCAAGCCTCGAAGATTGCGCCATGTCCAGTGCGAAGCAACAGTTGAATGGTGGTGTTTGCCCCCTGGAAGGAAAGTGTGTCTCGAGGCGGCGTCATTGTCGCAACACTGGAAATGAAAACGTCCCACAGCGCAAGCCAGTATCGTCACTCGTGCCTCGAGCAAGCAAGTGAAGGACAGCTTCCCCAAATTTTCAGCAATTCGGCAGGTCCCTGGAGTCCCTGGACTCTTGCTTAGCATCGCCAAGGTGGAAGCAGACAGCAGCCCGGCCGTTCCCGATGTAGCTCGTCCCAGGATGGGAGGTCCTCCTCGCCTGGGCAATGGCCCGTCCCCCCGTCCTGCTCTTCGAGTTTGAAGAAAGCAGCGGGATGGATCCCGGAAACTGTCGCGGACAAGCAGCCTCGGGACTGTCATTGGTAAGTGATTCATGACGTCTCGCAAGGCTAACGTACCAGCCCGACCGATTGCTGCGCGGGCTCCGCGGCATAGTTAGCTCGCATTGAGGGGCGCGTGGCCGATTTTCGAACAGACGTCCCGCGCGGAAGTGGCGTTGACTTCTTGCCATCCTCCTGGCGTGGCAAGAAAACATCGTAGAGTCAGTCGTAGAGGCATCCATCGAGTCATGTTTGCACGGGCATGGGGCGAGAGTCAAGGACGCTTCATCGGTGGAGATCACAATGCCTCGTATTCGGCGCAATGAATCGGGCGATTGTCGCTCGGAGACCTTCCTACAGAATCCCATCATCCCATCTCCGAGCTCATGTCCTCTAAGCCAAGAAGCTGCCCATCGCTGTGTCTTCTGAAGTGGTTACGGTGCCGTGAGACGGTGCAGGGCTGGAGACATGGCGGATAGCCGGTTGCAGGTTGCCAGGACATCGCCGAGGCGGATACGCTTGCGGTGGACCCGAACGTTGGGCCTCGGGCGTGATCAGCAAGACCTGCGCCTGCGGAGGATCACGAAAGGGTAACGGTCGACATGCTCGTCGTGGCCATCTCCCCACACCACAAGTCAGACGTCAACCATCATCTCGCAGGAACGCGGTCCCCAGTGAAGTGAGATTCTACAGATCTGGAGCGGGGGTCGAGCACGTCGACTACTGCCCATTGCCTCGCCAATCTTAACGCCTGCATGTCAATACTATCGGTCCTTTCCTGCTTCAAGACATCGACTTGGGGGTAGTCGGTGATCTTGAGGAGATGGATCAGAGTCGGGATCTGGGGCGATCGAAAGCATGTCTGTATGCCAACTGTCGGTTGTCGAACTAGCCCTGGGTCTGTCACGCATGTTCTCGACCCATGGCATGTTTCTCCTCGATGTCGTGTCGTTGGAACTGTCGAAGTGGGTGGAAGAGTTTCCTGCCTTGGATGCACCGCTCTAAGCCGTGGTCGGGTCGAGTTTCTTCCTCAATTTGAAACTGCAGTGGCCACGCGAGTTTCTCGCTTGATCATCCCCCCTCGGAGCTGGTTGACTGCCTTGAAAGGCCCATCGATCGTTCTCTAAGTTGCGAAGCACCATCCGGGCACTGCGCGAGATTCTTGCGAATGCTATGGCCATGCGAAGGGGTAGCGCGTTGCTTTGAGACCGGGGTAGCGCGTTCCTTTGAGATCAAGTTCGGCTGAAGCTCGACGGACATCAGGTTGCGCAGCCCCTGTAGTGCCCACATTCCAATGCATAACCTGGTCGTCGACCACATCCACCATGATGAGCCACATTATGATATCATCTGTTGGGACATGTCCTCGATCTGTTGTGTCGTCCCAGTAGTGAAGTTTTAGGCGACGCAGGTCTCGTCTGTCCCCCACGCGATGTGATTAGGACCGCAGCATCGAGCAATTCTGAGGGCCTACGGCCTACACCAATGCCATCCAAAAAAGACAAGCACACTAGTCGAAGGTCACGTCTGGGTGCGACGATCTCGCTGGCATTGGCATTACGGTCGGGAAACTGTCCGCCGCGTCGTAGCCGCTGCCCGGGTACAGCACCTCCACGCTGAGGTGCCCTGCACCCACTAACGAGCAACTCGTCTGGCCGAGCCGAGTGTCTGGGCAGGCGTCGTCAGAAAAGTGCTGCTCAGGTGGGGAGGCGCTAGCTGTCTGCACCTTGTAAGAGCCTGTCGGAGGATGAACATGACACCCAGCACATGCACATGGACAGACCGAAGTGCTTAACTTTTGAGTGAAAGTCAGCCCACCGTCACATTTCAATGCTAGGTCAGATTCCGGTTAAGATGCTTGCAACTTGCAATCTGCAACAAGCTCCTCGCCCAAGACGTGCCATGCCGACCAGCATCTGCCGCAGCATCACAAATCGGCACATGTGGTTACACGTCGCCTTCCAGAGGTAGTTGGTGTAAGGCTCGTGCAATGCGTCTAGAAGGAAAACCTGCACATCGGGCTGAACTGCAAGTTCCTGTGCTTTCATCCTTCTGGTCTGATTTTTCAAGCGCTTCCCGCCTGAAAGGCACGCATACGGACCATTGTCCTCAAGCAAGTCGCTGTGCCATAGCTATAAAAGTCTGCATTGGCTCTTGGTCGGGTGTGACTGCACTATGCACGTGTACGCATTTCATGCGACAAGACCATGCTGTTACTCTGCACCGGCCACGCATGAGTTGTAGATGATTGGCTTTATCACAACTGGTCATTCTGGCAGGACGAAGCCATGGTGATGTGAATACGTCGAGTAGCCCATGCTGTCTCATCGGCCTCATGGGTGCTGATGAACTTGAGCCACCAATTGCATCAGGAATCGACACAGGTGATGAGAAATTGGTCGCAGAATCACATTCTACACTTGCACAGACAAAGCGCTTTTACAGCACACATCAACCGTTCTGACTGGGAGATGGCACGTCTTGTGCAGCGAGCACGCGTGGCCCGTCAACATCTCCAGATCAAGCAGATCGATTTGCAGCTTCAAGTGTCTCGGCTCCAATCCCAAATCGGTACACCCATCAACCAGGGTAGCTACTGCGCAGCAAATCCACCTTGCACCATGGGCAGCAACGATAAGAAGCACGCTTCAAAATAGCATAGCATGCCGCGCAGGTTGACGCGAACGCAGGGCCAGCGCACCATCTGACCGACAGCGGCGATTGGCCCAGTGGAATGGTTCTACTTACTTGTCCCACCTGGCATTGCTACGTACCACCGCGACCGCAGGAGTAGCATTAGTTCCAGCACTTTACATCCTTACTTTCTGCCATTCAGAATAGGTTGGGAACGGGCGCTAGAGAAAAGCCTTCCATTTGCAAAATCTAGGCCTCACCACACAACTCTAAATTCTGAACCAGGCCAGCCACCGGAATGAACATGTCTATACAGTCAGAACGTGGCGCCGCTAAGCAGACCCTGTTGAAACATGTTGAATCTGCTCGTCGCGATCGAGGCAATCGAGGCCTCTAAACATGACAAAGTCCATACTAGGTGCCTACTCTGCCAATAACCGGCCCATTGCCTACCTGTTTGGCAAACAGCAGCGCACAATGCAGATGTCATTGCAATCAACTTCAATCAGCAATGTGAAACCAGAGGAAGGCTGTTCACTCAATTGTGACTCGTCTCTGGCGAAGTCGTGCCAATAGATCGTTACTTCCAGCCTGTATGCCTAGGCCACGAAGCGACTGCTGACCCAGTGTTTTGTACTCCGTGATACTTGGCGCATCCTTCAGGAATGGTGGCACCAACTTGTCGCACACACATCCATCTGAGCCGCGAACTTGCGAAGCCCTGAGCGCAACATGTGTCTCACACAGCCATCTCATTTTGGGAAGTTTCTTCACGCTGCACCAAGGGGTCCACTCCAGGTTTCTTTGGCTTCTCTTCTGGTGCCTTCTTCCTCCACTTGGACTTGGTCAGCAGACACTTTTTTTGCTTATCTACTGGAAATCACGGAAGCAGTCGCGATCAATCCAAGTTGTCTCGGCCGTTGGGGGGCCGGCCGGATGGTTGGGCTTAACACCATAACCCATGCGCTCAGCGAGGGTCTTCAGCTCGGGCACTTCTTCATGCTCCTGCGAACCACACGTCACATATGGCCTGTGTCTGTCGCAGACGATGTAGCAGCAGCTTGGGTGTCCTCGCTGTCCACTTCCTCCGCTGCCTGTCGACATCTGCACGCCACATCCCGACATCATGAGGCATGCTTCGCACCCCACCTCCTGCAATCCTTGCAAGGCGAGAATCTGCTTTGGCCGAAGTTCCTGCAAACAGAAACACGCCAACTGCCACCGAACCATCAATTGCTGCATCACCTCCGAATGCCGGCGCCGACGGGCGCGAGCCAGTGCCACCTCCTGATTCACATGACAGGTGAGGTTGCCCGACGTGTCTGGCGAATTCTGGCGATTTGAGTGTGCGGAAGAAACAGCGTAAAAGCTCGTGTTTCCCAAATCGCAGCATCACCCCAGCTCATGAAGAAAAGGTCAGGCCCTGGCCATCTCCTCCACGCTGCGGGCATGCTGGTTAATCTCACGGGTTTCCCTTGCAAGCATCTGAAATCGCTCAACTATTGAAGCTCACACCTGTCAAGGACCTGCCTGAAGTAACTCAAAGCACTCGTCGCACGCTGAGTGACCTCATCTTCTGAAAGTAGGCGCACACCTGACAATGCGCATCCAGGCATCGGACATGCTGCAGGCTTTAGCCAAAAACTGCCCTCAACAAGTAAACGAGGTAAACCAAGGGTCTGTCAACTTCAGGTTAACCTCAAGAGAACACAGACATCGACAAAAGATGATCAATAATCTTCTTGCCCTTCTTTACCCCAAAAATCCCTGGCGGTCTTTTGTGCATGCCAGCATGTGGCATGTGCTATGCTGCTTGTTTCTGCAAGAATCTCGGGCCCTTCCGACCCAAGGACTGGGAGCAACACTAGGTCGGTCTAGGAGCTCCTCCTCTACCTGATCAGCGCAGAAGGCTCCGCCAGAAAAGTTGAATGCATAAGCTGGAGCTAAGCTGGACTGCCTGCTCCGCAGCATAGCCTGCACAAGTACGAGAGCACGATCTCATCCATGCTAAGCAAACGCCAATTCACCGGGCGCCCCGGCCGTCACCCTTCGACTCTTTCGAGCCCCGACGAGAAGGCCGCACGGGCGGCTGCACGGGCTTCAGCTCACCTTAGCTCGTTTCGATGGCGCGGCCCTTGCAGGGCACGCTACGGTCTCTGAAAAAGAAAGCTCGAGGGGACGACTAGATGACACTGGTCTCAGCACCATGTCTGCTGCAGCCCTGGCAACAATGAGGACACGGTTCTGGCGAAGCATTAAGGTCTTGGAACTCACGAAGGATGAGACACGGTTCTTGTGCCATCCAACTAGCTGGCTATGCGGCTACGTCATGCGCATGCATGCTGCCCGTTTTGGGGAAGTTTGGGTTGCTGAGTGCGGTCTGTGTTCAACCCAGTTTCACGTCTCATCTTTGAACTTTGCTCCGCACATGCGCAGATATGTCTTTCTTGAAATGCAAGCCCGCGAAACATCCAGTGTTCTAAGAGCAATGTGAAGTTTTGTGTGTGTGTGTGTGTGTGTGTGTGTGCGTGTGCCTGTGTTTGCCTGTGGGCTTTGTGCAGCGCCACGGAAGTCTCGCCAAACGCAAGTGGGCAGGACTGAATCTGCCCGCGTAACAATTGATTGGACTTGCGTTGTCGGCGGCAGGCCTGGCGATGCTGCCATGGGTCAACAGCGTGGCCGAGCCTATATCGCACGGCACGGAATTCTAAAGCATGTGTAAACGGGGATGCTTCAAGCATCTGCAGGCATGTTCGTCGAGTACCTTGACTCCTCGTCGGATCGAAGCCAGACGAAGCCTTGCCTCACCACGAGCCACCCACTATAGTAGAGCCGAAGCCTCAACAACCCAGCGAAGGAAACGTACAAGTACCAGATGAGTTCCACACTGGATGGCCGCCGCAGATTAGTCTCGTGAACCTGAGCATGCCCGCAGCGATCAACAAGTGCACCAGTTGCACCAGAAATTGTGAAGCTTCTCAAATTTGAAACAGCAAGTGGTCAGACTCTCTCACGTGTTTTCTCCGGCATAAACTTCTCAGCGCTACTCAGCTCCAGGCCACTGCGATCGGTGGAGAGGAATGGAGGGACTGACCTTCAGATCCAACGTAGCATGGTCCACATTCCACGCCGACGAGCCAACTGCAGCTTCCCGACGTCCCCCGTCTGTAGATACGTCCCAGAACTCTAAGAACTCTAAGAGCTCTAAAACTCAGGACTTATTGCGCAATACTCAAGGGATTTCCGGAAGGCTGCATTGCCCCAGGCGCATTTGTGCGTAGTGCTACTCGGATAACTCTGTTCGGTCTCAAGTTCTGTGCGACTCCAAGGGGCAGATGAGGGCGGAAGTTGGCGAGAGCGGCTCGTGCATCGCTCCTCCACTTCTCCTCCACACAGAGATCTGCGCGAACGCTCAGAGGAGAGACGACAAACACAAAAGGAACTCCTCTCGCCCCTCATCTCTCAGCACTCCGATCAAATAAGATCGAATGCCATCTCCCATTTCGGAAACCCCTACTTTGAATGAACTCTCGATCATAATATGGTGTCCAGAGAGCTCGCGCGCGCCTGTGGCACTTCAGAGGACGTGTCCCTCTCTTTCGAGCCAACGGCTGTACTTGCGGCTACTCTTCATTCACATCTCATGACCATTGGCAACCACATGTTGGCAACGAATGAACCTTCTTTGACTGCCAAACCATCTGGCATTCTATCGCTCTCTCTCTCTCTCTGCCGCGCCATCCCCTAGGGTCTTGCTACGCAAGGGCACGAAGAGTGGGCTAGGATCTCAGGAGGCGCAGGGCGACCGCAGAACCTCCTTCCTATCTGCGCCAGGCATTTTTCCTAAGACTCCGTCGGCAACTCAATCTCTGCTTGTTCCCAGCTCTTCTCATTGCCTGACACCATCTGCTCCTGCTTTGCTGTTGGGACACTCGTTTGATGAAGCCAAATCAATACCTCTTGCAGCGTCGCGGCAACGGGCCCGACATCTGGGACGGCGCGTAGGGGTGAGACATTGGAACGGGCGGAGACAGCTCTCCCCTCAAGCAACGTAAAACAATTGGGAAACTTGCGCTTGCGCAGGCACGCGCTATGGCCACCTGCGGCTACCTGCGGCGCCCTACTTGAAGCCTGGCTTCCAGCGCCATCATCTCCGCCACAATTCGCTTGACAGCGGCCAGCCTTGCCAGAACAGAGCGCTTTTTCCGGGGCTCAAAGTGTCCGATCTTGAGGCAAAGGCCCGACTGGGCCAAAGTTCATCTCCCCATGTCCGAGATTCGGAAACCAAAGAAGCCTGACAGCCGTTGGTTGCGTATCTTGCATCTTCCTTGTGCTTTGGCCCTCTTTGGGCCCTCCCTGTGTATCCCTGTGCCCTCCACAGCCTGAAGGTGTCTGTGCTCTGCTGCTGCAGCCAGCCAGTTAGATAGCGGCGAACCTCACACAAAGCTGCCAGACACACTCTGCAGTCAGTGCCCACGTCGCCACCAAGGAGCGGAATGTGCTGGAACCTGAGAACAGCCCACGAACTGTTAAAAGCCACAGACGATGACAGTCCCAAGCCATGGCCGCGGCAATGGAGTCCTCGCCGGACAGCATAACCAGCGCAGGCATCGTCAGCTCCTGGCAAGCTTTGCTAAGCTTTGCGGGCTGGGAGTCATTGCGTTTCCTCGCTTGTTCACCTGCCTCAGGCCAAAGCAAGTTCTGGAACCAGAAAAAGTTCCGGGATAGACTATGCCTGAGCTGTCCACTTCCACTTTGAGCACATCTCGAAACTTCCATCACGGGCAAGTCGCGCAATGAAGAGCTCGCGCGCAACGAAGTAGTGTAGAAGCAGCTGTGTAGGAGTCTCCGGGCTCCGGTACATGAAGTTGTAACAGACCTTGCCAAGCAGCTTGCCCAGCAGCGAGCCAGGTTACGCACGCATTTGCACAACCGTACTGGCGGCCCTGGCATCTGGCTTGATGAGAAGAAAACACACAGGATCCAAGAAGGTTGCGATTTTGACCTGACGTGAACGAAGAGCGGGAGCTTTGCCTTTCGTCTCTTTGCATTTCACCTGTTCCTAACGCGGCGTAAGCTCACGGCTGTCTCCTTGGCGTTCTTGCACATCCAGGCCACGACGATGGATCCAAAGGAATGGCCGACAAAGTGAGCCTGCAAGATTCGTTCATATTGACACTTAAACATGCCTAATTCGTGTTCACACACCACCAATCACGGCAAGGAACCGAATCAAAATCCCAGCTCGTGAGCATGTCTCGAAGGCATGCGACCATCTCTGCACTGGATGGCACATCCTTTCTGGATGCATTGGTAAGCGAGCACTTCTGTGTTGCACTGCACAGAGGTCCTCCTTGATTCGCATGGAGATGTGCGGCAAAGACACCAGAAAGACGCTTTTGCTCTTTGGCACTTGCCTTGGGCGTGCTGTGGGTAGCCGCATATCAAATCGGTTCTTGCATGTCAGGGGCACAGCCTTGTCCACTCACTTTCGCTAATTTTAATTTGCGAAAAACATCAAGTCTCAACTCTCAACAGCTCAGCTCAGCGAGCAATGCCGTGCAGTGCCTCCCGGCCTCAGCAGCTCCGTGATGAAATGTTCCTCTGGAAAGTTGGCGACAGCAGAGTGGAGGCTTCGGAACTTCGACGGCTTCGAGATCGAATACCATGCTTTGGAGCGCCCAAAACATACCGCGTCCGCACATGTCCATACTTCTGCCAAGAGGCGTATGGCAGCAGGTTGACTCCCACACCATGGCAAAAGACGATTGGGGGCCCCGTGCCTCAAATGGGTCAGCAACCATGGCAACCTACAAGATGGAGAGAAATTTCGACGCCTCTGAGCTCCGTTCTTTTGCCCTGTCCTCGACGAAGCCAGTACTGAAGAGTGCCACTCCTTACACAAACGCAGAGCCGCTGCCCAACACCAAGCAAAAATAGCTGGGAAGCTGCACAGGTAAGTTCGAGTCTTGTGCTTGCGGAAGCCCAAGTTTTCGAGGTTGTAATGTGTCACTACCTGCGCATCTCCGGCTTGAGAAGGCATAGATGTCAATTTGCCCAGAAGAGAACAGAAGGCTGCGCGTGTCTGCGCTACAGACCCCTCCAGACGCAGTGTTTCCTTATGTTTCCTTGCATTTTAGCTTCACCACTCACTGGTTGACAAAGAACTTGTTCCCAACACCTTATGAACTGAGCCGTTCATCGACCGTGCATAAGATAAGCCATCTGATGCACCGTTAAAGCGTTTCAAACCTGGTAAATCGCTTAACCATTAAGACATCCCAAGCTCATGGGGAATGTGGTGGAGGCGGGGGGGGGGGGGATTCTCGTACGGTATTATGCTTTACACTTACTATATCATATTTATGTTATGGGAATCCTACTAAAAATGATCTTCATATTTAACTGAAAATATGAAGCCCTTTATTTTACTTTTAAAGCATGACTTCTACTTTAGTCGATGATTAGCAAACCCGCATTCACTAAGCGTGTGAGCGAACCAACAGACCTGGGTGAAACATACAAACATGCTGCAAGAATAAGATGATGATCACAGTGAATTACCACTAGTAAGATGATGATGACAGTGAACATTGGACTCATGGCAACAAAGTTTGTGATGTTCAAGCCTTAAGGTGAAAAGAACGAGCAAGGACATGAAATCCACAAATGCATTGCATATGTACTACATTTCAGCCAACATAGAAGAGGCCTTAGTACCATATGAACAGCGCTTATCTGTACTGCGAGAAACATCAACATGAAATATAGAAAGGAAGGTAGAGGAATGAGTTAGCGACCAAAATCCCAACATTAAGATTCACCAGAGTTTATGAGCGTTAAACGGTGAATTTACACCGAAGTTAACAAAATCACAGTGCGTCTTTTCATTATCTTTTCCTTGTTCCAAATGGGTGAGAGAAGCACAAGAAATACATTTCAGCCTGATAACCCCCTACGGACTCAGGTCAAGACCGGAAGTGCGAGTGCCGTCACCTCGCAAAGTGGGCCGATCATCCATGCACTGTCATGCACTGCTTTTGTCCTCAGAATGAAAGCTCGGCTGCGGGCAATGTAGTAAATCATCGGACGATGCTCGGATGGTATAGGATCCTCTACTTGACAGGTCGATTCGCCCGATCTTTGCGGCGAAAGCTAAGCCATACCTTTTCTGTTACGTAAATCATTTGTTGCAGAAGCTTGGGGAGGGGTGGAGCTGCCACAAACGTGAACAACGGCCGTGCTCCACTCTGCTCTTCCGTCTCAATTCTGAGGCCGCGACCATCGTTAAGCGCATGGCCTCTCAGCGAATTGCTGCGTGCAAATAATGCAAAATGCATCTAAATCATGCGCAACATATCTGCTTCGCACTGTGCGGTCATAAGAAGACAGGCTGGATGAACCTCCCTTGCCCACAGTCCCCACCAAGCCCCCCCCTCCCACCTCCCGCTCGACAAGAGCGACAAGAGCCCTAAACAAAGAACTTGAATTTTAGGAAATCTCTTCGAGCTTGTTGCCATTGCTTCGGAGCCCGACTCTCTCGTGTTAGAAGTATTCGGCCAAAGCCCCAGCGTTGAGCACAGAGACTTCTGGCTTTTGTCGCAGAGCACCGTTCAGAGCATGTGCTGCGTCCGAAACACGTCCTGCGCTCCTGCCACCGACGCGCTGCTCTATCTGGGCGGTAGTCTTCTTCGAGCCCAAGCTTTCACGTCCAATGCGAAAGCCTGTATCACAAGCGCACTCCGGCAGCCAGCTGCCGGAGTGTTTAGACTCTAGAGACTCTAGAGCTAACAAGTCACAAGTCACGCTCTCTGGCACGTGCCTGCACATGCGGGTTGTAGCCTTCGGGGAAATCAACTTCGGCCCAAGCAGCACCTGCAAACAGCTGCAGTTACACGAAATGTTGAAGAATGCTCTTGCGGCACATGCTTGCCGCTTACTTGCAGGTGGCCTTCATCGACAAGCTGTACAAGCTCCGACCACCTGCTTTCAGGTACCTGGTCCGAGAGTCCAAGGAACAAAAAAACCTAATCTAGACTCGAGACTGCACGAACGAAAGCTTGTGCAGAATGGGCTTTCTTCCGGCTGCACGCTCAGTGTCGAGAGTCAAACTCATCGTCGGAGGCAGCCAGCCGTCTGCAACATCTCACGGCAGTGTCTCTTCCTCTCAGAATTGCCAGGGCCTAGGAAATCGAGAGCATTGTCACCATTCTCATCTACTGCATGAATATCAGCACGCCTCTGCAGCAACAGCTGACACACATTTCCCCGGGCACGGTTCGCTGCACAGAGGAGTGGAGTCTCCTGGAAGTCGTTGCGGGAATTGGGATCTGCCCGCCGATCCAACAGGAGCTGCATAATGCCCAGATGCCCACCCCGTGCGGCCAAGTTCAGGGGCGAGTTGCGTCCCTTTACCCTTACTCGGATGTCTGGGTCCACTTCGGCAGCCAGCAATGCACGAACAGTATCCGCAGCTCCCTCATAGCAGGAATTGGCGAGACGAACACCATTTGCCGACCTGGGTGACAACCCTTCAAGTTCATCCACTTCAGGCGGAGCTTCGAAGGTTAAGGCCACAGAACCGGGCCACGCCCGGTATGCCGCGGAAAGTACTTCGCCCAGTTCTCTTTTGGTCATCCGCAAACGCCACCCTGCCGGCACACCCTTGCCTGGCAATGTTACACGCATGCACATGACAGCTGGATCAAGGAAGCTCATGTCTTTCTTCAAGTCCTCCACGCACTTGTATGTCACTTCCACAGGGTCTGACATGGCATTTGACAATGGCAGGACCTGAGACTTAGAAATCCTTAGAACTTGTGCAACGAAAACTCTGGCCTCACATCACCTCACCGACCTCACCTCCATTTTGGCACGGAGACAGAGCCAAATGCTGAGGACCCCCATGTATCCCTGCAATGCGATCCAATGACCTCCAATCCCCCAACCACGACTACGGGCGGCTACGACAGACAAGACTTGGCAAGTGCCGTACCTCGTCTGGCGTGCAGTGGAAAAAGGCCCACCTCCAAGGCTAAAGCTGCCATTTTTGTCCCATGTAAATGCACGCGGAGACCTGACACTCTAAGATTCTAAGCTCGCCGCGCCATCCACTCGGCCAGGTTGCCACGGCATATCTCTGCCACCTGTGCAGCTGACCAGCGGCAGCCGGTGCGGCGATCGAAAAACCTCAGTATATCTCAGTCTGAAGTTTGCATCGCACGATCAAAGCACCGCACTGTAACACATGCAACCCGACTCTGCATCCATGCTGAACGTGAAGTTTGTCAGGCATGTTCGGGCAATCGCCTCTTTCTAAGCCAGCATCCTGCTGGATGCAGCTGGATGCCCTTCAAAGGTCGAAGGTCGCATGAACTGACGTCCTCTGACAAACTGGACTTGGGGGGATTGTGTCAATTCACATCCCATTCATGCAAACATCGACACATCTTTGTACAGGCTCGTCAAACGATTGCCAACTTTGCAGCTGCGGACTTTGCGCTCGCACTCCACTCAGGCAGATCTTGGATTCCACTGCAAGCCTGCCAAGTTTTGTAGGGGAACATGCAAAGATTCGCACGTCCTCATGGGCAGTGCCATGCCAGCCTCGAAAGTCGGCTGGCAGCGACTCTTTGTGCAAGAGCGGCAAGCCCGATTTTGATCGCCGCCTCTAGCGCATGGCCTCCAGCAACTCACAAGTAGCCAGCTTGACAATCCCGAAGTTCACACGCTCGGCCCCGAGCAGCCAACATTTGGTCGCTGTGCAGCTGACCAGACCTCAGCTTTGTCAGGGGGCCTCAGGATGACGTTTTGTTCTGGGCTTAAGGCGTTTAGGGCTTTTAGGGCTTTTGACTTCACATCTTTTTGAAGTTCCCTGTGGTGGTGAAGAACTTTGAGCGTGAGGCTGCCGAAGCACTCGGCGCAGGCCTGGCCTCACCCACAGCATCTTCAAGGGCCGGACAAGGGGCCCCCAACGACCAACAGCATTTCACAGCATCTGACGAATAGCCACTGCCCAACACTGCCAAGATCTGCCGAGGGACCATACCCTCGCTTTGCCATGCAGTTCGTGGCACACACCATGCGTCCTACACAGCGCTGGCCGCATACGTCGATCTCCTGACAAAAGCTCGAAGCAAGGCAGAAAGGTCACCCGCTTGCAACATGACGTGGACACAGTTGAGCACACTTTCCAAGCATAGTAACCATTGGTAACCACTGGCAACCGTTCAGAATCCTGCAGAAAGGCCGCGCGGCCGCCGTCTCGCCAAGTGGCCTTGTCCTGAGCAGCCACGTGAAGTGGGAGTGTTGAGGCCTTGAGGCCTTGAGGCCTTGAGGCCAGTCCGCTGGAGGCTTTCTTGGGCCTCGGCAGCCTTTGTGAGACAGGCATCGTTGCCTGAGCCCTCCTCTTTTGGAGCCAAGAAGCGAAAAGAATCTTACAAAGGAGTCCAGCCTTTCAACGTGCACCTACGTGGCTCAGGACTGCAGTTCCGGGTCCTCTCGATGTGGCCACAGCCACCAAACCTCAAACAGCACTGACACTGACTCGGCCATCTGACGTTGAAATCTGAAGAGTTGCCAGTCCCGGTCGCCGGGATCAAACGGCCACTATGCCAAGCCACACGTGCCAGGTCAAGACCTATCTTTACCACGCTTGTTCAGGCACAAGATGCCTTGAACATGCACTCCGATTCGTACTCCCTGCAAACATTTGCAAAAGACCAGGGCTGAGGGCCACTGCAGCACTATTTCAGACATACTGCAGCGCAGCTGCAGCCCTGGCGCGTGTGGCGAGCCTGACACAATTGGCCTTCCCGCACGAAGGCAGACAGATGAAAGGGCTGTCTGGGGTCGCATGGCTTTGTACATTAAAAGGTAGTTAAAGATGCAATTCTGGCCCTTTGTGGCCCTTTGTTCTCTGCCTCTCACAGCTTCTCCACATGACACGGTAAGCCGGATGACATGCCAATCGTAACCTGCGCATCTGCCCGAATAGTCTCCGGTGCCACGGCAAGGCGGAGCCTGAATTTCTGAATGAGCAAACTGAGCATCACCTTCATCTCCAGCATCGCCAGGCGCTTCCCGAGGCATTCGCGCGGTCCAGCATGGAAGACAGGGTTCTCGTAGGGCGACTTCACCTGTTCCATCTCCAGCCATCTTTCTGGACAGAACTCGGAGGCATCAGGGCCCCAAATCTCCTGAGATCGGCCCATGGCGTAGGAGACGTAGATTAAGGCGGCTCCCCTTGGAACATGAGTCCCATCCGGCAAGGTGTCAGAATTGGCCACGAATTTCAGATCCAAGGGCACGGATGGATACAGTCTCAGGCTTTCCTTCAAGACAGCCTCTAAGTAGCGAAACCTGCCCAGCTTCTCGTAGTCCAAGCCCTCGTCGCCACAAATTTCAGAAACCTCCTTTCGAATCCTCTCTTGAACCCGTTCGTGCTTCATCAGCAAGAACAAGCACCAAGACATGGCTTGGGCCGTGGTGTCCCTCCCGGCGATCAGGAAATTCAGCACCATGTCCGACAAGAACTCGTGTGACAGTGACGGGTCGCTCTTCATGAAAAGACCCACGAAACTGTCACCAGCTTCTGTATGGAGTTTCTCAGACAAATCACGTATGATGTTCATGCTGTACTTCTTCAGGACCCTGAAGTGAGACTTGGCATCTCGTTCATGCCCCAGACGCAAGAACCGGAGAAGGCGCCAGCCTGGAATCAGGAAGCGCCAGAACAAGACCCGCTGCGCTTCATCGAAGGACTTGAGGAAAGGCGAGTCGGCGTTCTCCAAGGAGCCGATCGAAGCGCCAAAGCCGATCTCCCCGATGGAATCCTCCGAAAGTTACGAAACATCCCCAGAGCAAAACGAGAGTAGATTGCGGGCATCTGCGGGCGCCTAAAGGGGGGTTCGGGCCTGGGCTTCAGTGACTTCAGAGCACGAAGTCTCCCAAGAACAAGAGAAAGGATGTTATAACAAGGCCCGAATCCAGCGTGAAGCGGTTCAGAACGTTGAACATGTCAATGTCGCCGTTTTGAGCTTGCACAGATGCCTCGAGCATCTCCAGAACCTTGCTGCAGTTCTTCATGACGACCCTCCAAATGTGAGTTTTGAAGCGGTTGGCCGTGAACATATGGGATGCCGTCCTCCGCTGCATGACCCACTCCTCACCATCTGCATTGAAGATGCCCTTTCCAAGAAGGTCGTGGGCGATCGAATTGAAGAATTCACCTTTGGGGTAGTTGTTGAAGTTCTTCTTGAGCATATACTCCACATTGCGGGGATCCCGAGTAATGACCAAAGGTGTTACGAAGAATCGGAGCATGCCAAATTGAAGGAAGACGGTATTGCCCTCTGTTTCGTGTATCTGCGTGAGCAACTCCAGGAATGTGTAGCTGCGCACTGCCGACCATATCCTGGGCAGCACTCCCAGAAGACCAGCCCCACTGATCTCATTGCAACCTTTAGGTTGACGCTGCAAGCACTGCTGCAGTGCAGTCGCTGCAACTGCAAAGAGGGCTAGCACCACATATGAAGTGCCAAGGTTGTCGAGGTTTGCATCCCAACTCCTTGCAAACACCCTCATGGCAACGGCCAAAATCCGAACGTGCTGGTGCTATGGCCAACTGTCTGAATATCACAAAGGGCTTCGGAGCAGGAAGTCAAGCATGCCGTCTCTCAAAATGATTCTTTGGTTGACACGGAACTTGAAGTGAAGTGAGAAAGCGAGACACCGAGCCGAAGACTGCTGCAAAAATCACAAGCGCCACCACCTTCGGTCGCACGATAATCTTACTGAAGCGTGTCGCGCTCGCGCCCCAATTGCTTCCCCTGGCCTGCCATCGGAGTCGCGCCATGGGCAAACAGCACAAGTACACCGCATGGAATCTGGTATAGGATATCTGAACTGCAAGGCTCGCTGGGAGTCTAAACGCTGGACTCTGCAGCGAAAAGGAGGGTCTGTTGAAGCAATTGCTTCACTGCTGCTGTCGCTGCTGCTATCGACTCAATGTCTGAAGCACCAAGCAAACTTGAAAAGCCCGGAGTGGGACACTCAAAGGCAACAAACGAAGAAGTGTTTTCATGAGAAGGGCGTGCCGCCGACCCCAAACAGTGTAAGACCCCATCATCACCGGGCATGTTTTGGGCCGAAACGCAGTGCCAACTACCGCAACTGGCACCCTTCCCACCTGCCAAGGACTCCTTCCAAGGAGACATGCCCAGGGATTTCTTCCGGGAAAGCAGCGCCCCATCTGGCTTGCGGAATCTTCGTATTTTCCCACGACCAATCATACATACCACCCCGGCCGTGCACAATGATTTCATACGCCACCATGTGAGTTCTGACGATTTGCACGTTGCATGCCACACCAACTATGAATTCATCACGACATGGCACCTTCCAAGCAAAGAAAAGCCACGTGATTCGCAGCCTCTGCGTAAGTGAAACCACACCGTGAAGTTTTGTGAGTTCCCTGCCACGAAAAACCGTGCGATTTGTGAAGGTTCTGTTGCTCCAAGCTGCACAAGCATGCGCATCGGCGTTGCCCGTTCCATGAAACGAACAACCATACCACCCCATGGATATACGAGAGTGTGAGAAGAAAGAGAATGGGCCAACCACACTTCAAGCTACGAAACGCCACCCCTGGTGATTCATCATGATTTCAGGTCCAGCTTCGGGAAGCAGAGACCTTCGCGCACTAAGTGTACGCGAAAAACCACGAAATTCGATGCTTCGAATTTGGGGTCATGTGGAACTGGTCTGAAAACGGGCCGATTGCACGTGAGGGTCGTCGATGGCAATGTGGGAGCCGAATCGTGTTCGAGCCTGAACAGACCTTGTGCCAGTATCCTGATGTATCCTGCCGGCGCAAGCTCAACATCAATTAGGCCCCCATCACGGATGTCGAAAGTACCCCCCCCTCAAAAAGGGGGCCACGACATTGCAGGAACCCAAGACGCCCGTCCAGGACCCAAACTGCGCACAATTCACTTCCCTATCACAAGAACCCCAGAGTGTCAGCCCACGTTGGGAAGAAGATGAGGAAAGAGTTCATGTTCATTGTAGACGGTGAAGGGCCAGCCGGCCGCTGTCATGTGCACCAACCACTCACAGGCCCGGGCCATCCGCTGATTTCTGCATGCTTCAACCTGATCTTGGCACACCAGAGAAAGTCCTCCTACGGGTACCTGGTACCCTCATGGCATTTGTGCTAGCGCTCCTCATGCCCTGCAGCCAGAACAAGCACAGTTCCGTTGTGGAGCGTCGCTGCTGAGATATCCACGCCATCAGTTCTGCATCATCCATTGCGCTCTCGAATGCCATCCGCTCCTGCGCATCCAGCTCATGTCAGCACACCTGTCCCCACCCCAAAGAAAAACCCGATGCGGGCATCACCTCCTCCATGCTCCGAGCCAAATATGGTGATGCTAAACGAAGCTGCATACTTGAAACGTGTGGTTTGCTTGCGCCTTCTCACTGAGCAGAACGGCCGGCGCCATGTTCTGGGAACTAACTGCCGGGCGTTGACAAGCAAGTGGCAGCACATCGTGAAGACAAGTGCGCATTCGAAGTTTACGAATAGCTCTCCACATCTTCCCGGCCTCTTTTGAGAGTATCCCATTCTCGGAGCAACTGCTCCACATTCGACTCATTCCTCTTTGGGTGGAGTGCCTGCCGAATTGTCGAGTCGGAACGGGGCAATCGAATACTTGAAGCAACAGCTGACACCCTCAAATTGCATCAAACTGCATCAAAGGCATTCAAGACGTACGGCTGAGGTTCTGAGAGCTGGAGAAAAGCACTCCGTCGCAAGTTACGCACTTTCCGATCATCTATGTCACAAAATAGGGAGAAAAAAAAAAAAGCCGGCTTGAGATCAGCACTTTTTCCACCTCGCAAGGCCATAGAGACCAACCGAAGACGGGGACTTCGAGAAAGACGAAGAAAACCGAAGCTCGTGCGAAGCCGTGCGAAGCCGTGTGAGGCCGTGTGCAGACAGGAGCTGGTGATCCCGAACGCATTTTACCTCTTTTTTCTGCCACTTTGACCAGGTTCTATCACTTCGGCCTCCTGCAGGTCCTGCATACTGGCCTCAAAGAAGAAGCACAAAAGCACAAAACTCCGGTTCCTTCAGACCTTCGCTGGAGAAGCCCTGTGTGCCTTCGGAGATAGCGATCGAGACAGTTGCGGCGTGATGCGTCCTTGGGAGCCTCGGCCAGCAGAGACCAGCCTTTTGCATGAGCCTTGCCAGTGTCCTGCCGATTCAGAGAGGGTCGCGGAGTCCCGGGCCAGATGGCTCCAGCAGCCGCCCACAAGCCTTCTAAGCAGTCTGCACCAACTAATGCCCTTTCAATGGATGCGCTCTGGATGGCTCTGGATGGCTCTGGATGGCTCTGGATGGCTCTAGACATACGGCCCTTCCCTTCACTGGAGACTGCTCACAGGCAACACAAGAGAAGCATCGAACAATGAGCCTGAATGTCTTGTGTTGCTTGGAAAACTCGGTGCAGCACATCCTTAGAAATCGCAGACATGACTGCCGCAGATGCTGCATAGGATGCCTTGAATGGTGCCGCGTCAACCCAAACTCAACGCACCCCCAAACTGCACAGCCTGTCTTTTACTGCTGACGCAGGCATTGCGATGTCGGGATGCGCTTCGGTTCAAACTTCTAAGCTTGCCACAAGTCTCGCCATCACTTTCGGAGACTGCGGCCGCGCGAGATCCAGCCCAAGCTCACGGTCTGCCGGAAACCCCACATCTCCTCTTCGCTTCGTCGGCTTCGCCGTGTGTTGTGCGCAAAGACTCCTCGGGAAGAAGGACGCATCTTCACATCCGCATCCGCGACCATGGACGCCTCCCCGTTGCGACGCGCAGAGAACGAGACGAGCGAGGAGAACGAGACGCCTGAAATGGACTTCGAAGCTCACAGGTAATGCGCTTCCAGTTCGCGCAACAGCGTGACAGTGGTGAGGCTGCAGCTTCCCGGGCTTCCCCTCTCCAGCCCTTGCAAGGTGGCTTCATAAGTGATAACCTTGGCAGACACCACTCGTACCGACTTCTACCTGGAAAGCCAGATGGAAAATGATCAACCGACATGTCCAGGGCGCAAGCACTCAATTTGCGACAAGGCACGTCCATCTGCAGCCTCTGCGCCGTCATTTCCGACATTAAGCACAGAGTCAAAGCCCATTGAGTGCTGACGGCACAAGTGCTCAGGGCCGCATTGTACGAGACCAGATCAAGCTCTAGTGATGCCATCTTCATCTCACACAGCAGCCACACAGCATTAATCCAAGAACAACCTTTCTCGCATGCACTGATCGCGGAATTGTACGTAAAGACATTAGCACTCACCTTCAACTTGGGTAGGCGGCGAAGCATGAAGAGGGCCTCACGCCATCGTCCAGCTGTCTCACAGCTGCTGATCGCGGCGCTGTGGGTAACGACTGATGCTTCGATGTGCTGGAACCTTTCGGATACTCCATATTCAGTCGCTTAGTTCAGCACAGTACAGTTTGACGGAAGTATGTTTTTGTGTCGCAAGCTGCTTTGCATGTCGGGGAGCCCTGAATCAAGCAGCTCTAAAGCGTGCTGCCACAGTCCGCCTTTTTCCAGTGAACTGATGACTGCGTTGCAAGATATACAGTCTTCCTGGCGTGCCAGGCAAAAACTAAATTTGCAAGCCCATAAAGCAGCAAAGCTTGCACGATCCTTCACCGAGCTGCTGCGCATCCCAGCTAGCATCTCTGCTGCCTGTCTCCACTGGCCTCCGGGTTGCCGCGGACTTCGTGCACTACCCATACTAATGGTCCACATGCCATCTATCATGCTACACATCTCAGCTTGCACTGGTGCCAGCCCAAGCCAGCACCTGTCTTCTCGCAGGAACTGGCGGCGGCATTGCACGCGATCCTGCAACCAGGTAGAGCTTTGCGAAAGACAAGGTCTTCTGTGGCCCCGGTAACGAGTCTCAGAACCCGACAGATTGGCTTCCAGGCTCGTCTTGCCAGAGTCGGCCACCAAAGCTAAAGCATGTTGCCAGTGCTCTCCGGAACCGCAGGCGGAGATGGCGGAGGCTGCAGAAATGACCTTTGGGAAAAACACCGTGGAAGCCAGACGTTCCAGTAACCTTCTCACTTCTTACTTAGCTCTGAGAAGAGGCACTGTCTTCTCAACGCCAGACAACTGCATAACGTTGAGGATCTCCAGCGGCTGCTGCCATCTGGCAAAGGCTTCCTTAGACATGGGAAATGCATCTTCCCAAGACAAACAATGAGCCTTCCTTGACCATCCCCATCAGCCCGGTCTTCGCAAGATCTGCGCCCACAGCAACAAAACAAGATCCGGAGTTCTCACAAAGTGCAATTGGCAATGCGTGCAATGCGTAAGAAGCGGAGTTGGGCGGGGTCTGTTGATGCGGCCCTGTGACGAGGCCACTGTTCTGCAACTTTTCTCAATCTGCCAGTTTCACGTGAAGCATGTGTGGATGCTTCAACCACTTGCCAACCACAGATCTTGATTCTTTCGTTCAAGTAAAAATCTTTGGGCATTTGCAGAGTATCTCAAGACATGCTGGACATGCCTGGCCTTGACATTAGGACACAACTAAAGAAAACAAGATGCGCACTACCTCATGAATTAACGAAGGTTGTAGAACATGTCAGCAATGGAATGACATCCAGCGCAGCTAACCCGTGTAGAAGAAAAGCGAAAGTCCGAGGCATGGTTGACCATGGTTGCAAATCTGTTGACAAATCCATTGTCGAAGCTGACGTTCGAAAGCTGGATGTGCCAGAAAAACATGTGTCAAAGGCCCTTAGTTCTTGAATCGAATTTTTGTACAGCAAAGACCATAACCTCACCAAGAAGAGCACATGTGTGGAATTCACGTCACCTTGTCGAGGGATCTTTGCAGAATGAGACTTCGCTTCGTAGTAGAAGGCCACATCGTAAACCAACATCCAGCATAAGTGAAACGGCCCACCGATGTCCCTGCGGCCGACACCATCTTCCCCCCAAGCAAGCATCTGGCTGCTTTTGGGCATGCGGCAACTTAGAATCTTACTTGGACATTCGTCTTTCGAGCTGTTGAAACAGCTTCAATCGAGTTGATGGAGCCGAATGGTTGGTCTGTAGCCTTTCGACGGAGCCTGTCGGTTGCAAATATCAGTGAAAAAACGTTCTAACTTCAACTGCCATCGTTCCAAAGGAGCTCCTAGATCCTTGCGTTAAGGGTGTGGCACAAAAGTTCGTGTAGATCTTGGAAATATCTTGGAAGCCACATTGTACCGGTTCTCGTGCCGTTAGAACTTCATCATGGCCATCTTTCACGGTTTGGCCTGGGACACCTCTGGGGCACCTCTCAAACACCTCAGCCTCCGAGCCAATCCAAGGGCTGAGGCGGCCAAGGCGGTCCCACCGTCTGATCACGCAGTGAGGCTATGGCGGCTATGGGTTTGTGTCGCTCTTGTGCTGCTGCTGCTGCTGCTGCTGCTGCTGCTGCTGCTGCTGCTGCTGCTGCTGCTGCTGCTGCTGCTGCTGCTGCTGCTGCTGCTGCTGCTGCTGCTGCTGCTGCTGCTGCTGCTGCTGCTGCTGCTGCTGCTTGTGTTGACAACTGTTCCTTCAACAACATGTGTGTTGAGCACGGCACTCCCCAAGGTCCCAAGACAAGCTGCGAACGTAGTCACGAGAACATTGCAGTTCACGGCTGTCGTTTCCAGCTGCATCTGAAGGAGGCTGTGCAGCTGCGCAGCCGCAATACGCCAGCCCCCTGCATCGCAGCAAAAGCCGTGACAGTGAGCACTAAAGCAGCTGCAACACAAGACGGCGCTGCAGATCCAGACAGACTTGTCCTGCCAACCTGCTTGGCAAGCTTTCATAGAAGCACTGGCACTGTAGGCGTCCGCCGCCAGCGAACGCTGGCTCATCATGTCCAGGCCAACCATAGTCTTCACAGTCACAAAAGCACACAAGTCACCACACGTCACTCCAAGGGGCCCACAATCCCTGTCACATGGCCTGGCCTGTGCCCAGAGAGCGGCCCCGCAGAGAGATCGCAAGACAGCATTGTGGAGGATAACGTCCGCCTTTGGGAACAAAAATGACCCAAATGTTCTAAAAAATGTTCAAAAATGCCGCCTATCGAAGTGCAGCTGCGCCTGGAGGCTCCACACACGCAAGCCATCGAGGAGGTATGTAGACCACTCCCAGAAGCCTCAAAGCCCAAGATCAGGAAGTATGTGCTGTCAGTAGCTAGCGCACTTCCGTTTGAGCTGTCTGCTGCGTTTCGTCCATGCTTGAACCTCAAGCCTCAAGTGACTCAAGCGTCAATCCAGGCACTCTTCCTCGCGCAGGAGTTGATGAGAGCTGTCACGATGATGGCATTCAGTGTGACAGATGCTACTTCGCACACCAGGCAGGTCGCCAAATGCCAGCGACCACGTTCCTGGATCTCCTCTCAACAGTCATAAAACAAACTTAAGCAGTGCGTGACGATCAACGATTAAGTGCTTCGACTTTCGGTGCCAAACCAAGCTCGTTTCGCGATGCGTCGATCAAGCTCCTTGCAAAGCAGGACCTGTCTCCACTTCGCGCGACCGCGACATGTCATGACATGTCAGTCAAATCTCATCGACGTTGTCCTACCTTTCTCAGCACTACACTGTGTCGGACCTGCTTCTGCGCCCATGACGAACTTTAGAGGCAAAATGCCGACGGCTGAAAGGGATGGTTCGGGAGAAACCCCTGGGTTCCAAGAGCAATGAAGACCCTGGCACTGGACCCTGGTCCAGGAAATTGCAACAATGGATAACTCATCCTAACGCCCCCGATTCCCTGGCAATGCGCGGGGGCTTTTCTGTATGTACAGTCAGAAGTCGAAAAGTTGTTCCTGGCAGTTTTGACTGCCCTTCACAGAGAGCATCCGTGGAACATGCCACCAGGCACGTCTGGCATCAGGCTGAAACCTTCACTCCAGGCTTTACGTGCATTTACATAATCCTGCTCTGAGATTGGGCGCTCAACACCATGGCAGGGCATCCACTGTATTCACAGGCTGTGACAGCTTTGCTAAAAGTCGAGGATGGTGTCCTGGACGGAAGAAGCAACCAAACTTTGAGTTTATGGCAAGATGGCAACGCAAAGCTGCCAGCCACTGAGGCAGTCCTTTGCGATAAGGCGTCAACCAAGGACATGGCGAGCAGCCACTTGAAGCCCACCGCTGCAGATCCAACCGCAGCTGCAAAACAAATTGCGTCGCCGCCCTGAGTGAAGCTTTTAAGATAGAGAGAGAGAGAGAGAAAAAAAAAACAAAAAGCAATCGATGACAAACAGGAACTACTGCAAAAGTTACAAGGTTATTCCAAGAACAGTCCAAGCATCCAGCCGATCAACTCGAAGGTCACTGAAAACATGAAGGTTCCATTTCCACTTCGACACTCGATCACAGGATCCCAGTGTGGTACCTATGCTTGCCAGACATAGACTCCGGTAGCACGTCAGCAAGAACTCTGCAGGCCACCAAAAGGAATGGACCACACATGTTACACTGACCTTATACTGCGTGCAAGTGGCTGTAGATAAGCACGTCCGCTCGAAGGGCACGTGGCTTCAGCTCTTGCAGAACTTGGAGAGCCGGCTGCCAAGCACATCCCTTGTCGCAGGCACTACTGACAGAGCTGTAGCTAACAAGGTCCGCTTTGAGACCTTCTTCCGCTTCGATTTCCCACAGCATGCGAAGCGCACTTTGCCACTCTCCACCTGCCAGCATCTCTTGGTCGGCTGCAATGCCTACTTACGCAACAGGAGTCCTGGCCAGGCAGTTACGAGTACAGCAGCAGGAAGGATTGCGCTACATGTGCCTGTTGCAAGGCTGCACACGTACTGCAAAGGAAACATCGAGGGCAAGCTCTAATATGGTGTCGTCAGTATATGTTACAATCAAAGCCAATCTGAAACCACACCTTTCTCAAGAGCATCGAGGATGGCGTTGTAGACCTCTAAGCTTGGCCGGCAGGATGCCCGGATGTTCCGAAACCTTACATGGGAAAGCCGTGAAGTGCAAAAACCTGCAGAGCAGTGAGGCGAATGCTGTGGACCAAGCCAGACCACAGCATCCGGCCAACGCTGCGCTCTCCTTAGAAAGCGAAAGGTGGGACCAGGTCAAGCCAGCAACTTCGCTCCTTCCTGCTGAGAGCTGAGATTCCCAATTGCGCTCAGGACGGCGGTATGGGAAAAGGCGTCAGGAGCAATGTCAGCCCTTTCCATCAACGCAAAGACTGCCAAGCCCTGCTCCCATGCGGCACCTGATGCGGCACTGGCTTCCAAGCTTGAACGGCTTAAACCCTGACTTTGGACGATATGGTATGGACCATGGTGCGACATGCTGCGGCTCGTTGCAAGAAGGGCACTGCCGGCACAAGCATGAAGAGCAGCGTTGAATGAGATCCTGCTCTTTTGCCCTTTCATGCCCACCATAAGTGCAAGAGCTCTCTTCCACAGGCCAGCATTGGCGCAGGCAGTGATTGCTGCATTGTGTGTAATCACATCCGGATGAAGCTTCGAGTTCTCCACGCAATCCATCAGAATCAGCGCCAGCTTCCAGCAACTTGCTGCGGCACATGCGCTCATAGCAGTGTTGTACGTAGTGATATCCGGCTCGCACGCTCTGTCGCGGACCAGCAAGACGAAGTGCAGTGCCCTTTGCCACTGCCCGCAGTTCTCCAACGCAGCAAGGAAGCTGTTGAAGAGAGGCAAGCTTGGTGCGTACACCAAGTCGTGCGCCCGCAGAAGCTGCGCGGCTTGCTGCCATCGTTCCCGGAAGGAGCTCATGGCCGTAACATAGACACGGCTGCTTGCAGCATGCCCCCTGCACAAGGAGGCTCGTGAACGAGCCAAAAACACAGGCACCGCCCCCCCCCCCCCCCCGTAAATTAGAAAACTAAAGGCTGCATCTGTTGGACATTAAACACCCCCCGAAGGACACCTAACGATCTCAGGTTTCAGACACTTGAGGTTGGAAAGAAATGTGGTGACTACCGTTGATCTAAGCTTCTACACATTTCTGAAAGAAGCAACCTTGAACCCAGCCTGAAATCGAGCTTCGAGAGAAGATGCAAACACTGCTGCCAGGTGCTTGGAGCACAGGCGCCCACCGTCGATCCCCATGCCACGATGTCATCCTGGACTTAGCCCTGAACACAAACGCGGGGAGTCTTTCTCTGAGCACCTTTCTCTTCACTTTGTTGTCAATATTGTTTGTCTTAGCCTTTCGCCTTTTCGCTTTCGCTTCGTTTCTGCTTGGCTTCACATGTGCTCCTCCAGGTCGTGTCTTTTCAGTGCGGCGAGGAGAGCCACGGAGCGAAACCAGAGGCCCTGCTTACCTGAGAGGCCTACCCAGGGCCACACCAAGGGGGACCAGGATACAGATACTCCGGAGATGCTGGTTCTGCAACCATTATGTGCAACTTTGAGACATGCAGCAATTGCAGAACCATAGGTGATCACATCTGCTTCGAAAAGCCGTTCCCGCAGAGTCGAAATGATGTCTGCCGACATCCACCATCGGTCCGCTGTGATGCCTCAGAGGCTGCTCCGATGCAGCGGAAGTGAAAACATACGAGAGCGCGCTGCCAAGCACTGCAAAGCGTTGCATCGCAAAAACCAACGAATGCACTGAACTGCCCGGTTGTTCAACAGGTGCATTCAACTGTGCATTCAACTGTGTCTTTTGTTTGATCTTTGTTGCCTTGCCCAATTTGCTTCATGCTGCTACTACCGACGCTAAGACCTGCACTTGCGGCTGCCGAGTTGTAGGTCATGAGATCTGGGTCCAAAGTGAGCTCGGCAACGTGGAGAAGCTGCAAAGAAAATTCCCAGCAGTTGGACTGTCTGCATGATTTGATGGCCTGCAGCGATGAAAACCCCTAATGCAAGGGGGCCGAACTTTGCGAAACGACAAAAAGGGGTCTTCTCGGACATATACCAAAAAAATGACCCTTGAGCCCGAGACGCAGCGCTACAGAGTATCCTGTTGAGCTGCACTCCTTCAGCAGCTGCACTTTCCAAAAGTGCGATCGCTCTGTCCCACACCTCCGTGCATGGCCAGTGTGCAGAAGCTTGGACACCCACCACCTACCACGTCCAAACACGTCCAAGAACAAGCTGAGCTGCCTCTGATTTCACAGAGCGGCAGACATCCACCGGCGACCTCATGGCGACGCAGATTGGCTCTGCACCCTCCAACGGTCCAACAGCCGCGGCAGCTGCGGCAGCACCACATGCACACGATCTTGGGTTGGACGCTTTCGGGATCTCTTGAACAGCTACACGGCAGTGGGTCAAGTCAATGCGTTTTTCTCCATCACTTGAACCGACTAGGCGTCGCAGCTGGAAACCCTTCCCTTCGCGTCTCTCTCGGGCGAGAGGCTCTCACCCGCATGGTCAATCCAGTGTTGCACGGGGCCAAGAAAGGACATGTAAGGTCCTAACCAAAGATTTGCCTGCTGCCATCCGAGGAGGCACTGCAGGCTCCTTCCAAGGCAACAACCAGCCAGGCCAGCTAGGCATGATGCAGAGAGGGCAAAGCTTCACGAGGGCATGTGTCAAATAGCATGCTTCAACAAAAAGATTTGAACTCTTGAACTGCAATGCTTCACCCAAACGATTGCTGCATTTTGTCTCCCGATATCGGCCTGCAGCGCCGCATGCTTGTAGCGGTAGTACAAGTAGAAAAAGACTTCCAACCCCAGCAGGAAGGAGAAGGACTCCTGTGCACTCACTCGTACACCAAGGCTTCACACAAACATCCACAGCATCTCCCTCTCAAAGTGCTGGAACACGTAGGCCTACGCATTGACGAGCAAGCCTGCAGGCCCCAAGTCACTGCTGCGCGAAGTATTGCCAAGGCGCCCTGTGGCTGAGCCTGCGATGCACTTTCCGGACAAACACAAACCGGGGCATCCACTCTGAACAGCGCGAAACCCTTTGTGCTTTGAGCAAAAAATCAAAATCGCAGCTGGAGCACGCTTCGCGTCGCGCGTCCAGACAGGCTTCGCATGAGTCGCCAGGCCTGGCGAGGCGCTGTCTCTACAAAGCATGATTCTTGCGAACATTTGCAAAAAAAAAAAAAAACAAAAAAACGTGATTGGATGCTGAACTGTGGGGAGATGTTCACTTGCTTCAAAAGATGAAACAGGGCGCCGTTCTGCTCAACAGAACCGGTACTTGCCACAGAAAAGAGTCGACATGGCCGGCGTGCCCAGTACATGTACGCGAGCGGCGCAACAGCCTGCACTCTGCTTGAATCGGATTCTGGTTCTCTTTACAGCTTGCTTCTGCACCGCTGCATAGCTGAAGTTTCAGTGATTTGGGCTCCCTGTCTTTCTGGTCTTCTTCATCTCGACCGGCAAGAAGTCCAGGATGCGAACTAAGCGATTGACCCCCTCTCGTCTCTCTCGCTCTCTAGCAGGACAGGTGTCGTTGTACGCTGTGTACGGCTGAGGCGACCGCTGTGACCAACGCAGTTTCTGCTTGGGGAGAATCCCCACTCTCTCTTTCTTTCTCTTTGTCGTGGGGGGGGTAAGATGGACACTTACCGTGCGGTCGTCTAAACATATCGTTTACAAACAAGCCCTGCAGAATAGACGCAACGTGCCCGCAGCGTCAGCATGATGCATCCTGGGCGGAGGCGTGGAGGGCGCGGAGCGCGCAGAAGGCGTTCAGAGCCATCAACCGGCTACCATGCTCTCTTCAACCAGATACATCGCGCTCTGAACCCCTTGTCTTGTCCACGTGTGCCCCACTCCTCTGCCGGTCAGCCGAATGTCACGCTTTCGTCCGCGCTCCCCCCTCCTTGTCCTCGCCCCCGCTAACCCTCCCTGCAGAGATTTGCTGAAAAATGGCGGAAACGTGCGTACTCGAAGTTTCTCTCCCTCCCCAACAACCGAGAACATCCCCCGCCTCCTGAAACACCACCCAGAAACTTATGGGTGGAGGGGGCTCTCTCTCGCTCTCTCCCTCTCCTTTCTTCCTCTCATGGGCCCTGAGGGGCGCCCCCCGCCCGAGCACGCCCCCACTCACACACTTACTCACACACTCACACTCACTCACTCACTCACTCACTCACTCTCTCTCTATCTCTCTCTGTCTCTCTGTCTCTCTTGTCTCTGTCTTCCTTCCACAGCACTTAACCCCCCGAAGGAGGTCGCCAAGAACTGTCTCTGTCTCTGTCTCTGTCTCTGTCTCTGTCTCTGTCTTCTGTCTTCTGTCTTCTGTCTCTGTCTTCTGTCTCTGTCTTCTGTCTCTGTCTTATTATTATTCTTCTTCTTCTTCTTCTTCTCCTTCTTCTTCTTCTTATTCTTATTGTTATTCTTCTTCTTCTTGTTCTGCTTATTCTTCTTATTCTTCTTATTCTTCTTCTTCTTCTTCTTCTTCTTCTTCTTCTTCTTCTTCTTCTTCTTCTTCTTCTTCTTCTTCTTCTTCTTCTTCTTCTCTTCTTCTTCTTCTTCTTCTTCTTCTTCTTCTTCTTCTTCTTCTTCTTCTTCTTCTTCTTCTTCTTCTTCTTCTTCTTCTTCTTCTTCTTCTTCTTCTTCTTCTTCTTCTTCTTCTTCTTCTTCTTCTTCTTCTTCTTCTTCTTCTTCTTCTTCTTCTTCTTCTTCTTCTTCTTCTTCTTCTTCTTTCTTCTTCTTCTTATTCTTCCTTCTTCTTCTTCTTTTAGCGTATATGGCTTTCCCGAAGGGAGACCGCCCCAAGGGGCATGCGTTACGCGAGTCAGTCGGTGTGAAACGAGAAAAAGGTGGACGGACGGAACAATCAGTCTCTCTCTTCTTCTTCTTCTTCTTCTTCTTCTTCTTCTTCTTCTTCTTCTTCTTCTTCTTCTTCTTCTTCTTCTTCTTCTTCTTCTTCTTCTTCTTCTTCTTCTTCTTCGTCTTCTTCTTCTTCTTCTTCTTCTTCTTCTTCTTCTTCTTCTTCTTCTTCTTCTTCTTCTTCTTCTTCTTCTTCTTCTTCTTCTTCTTCTTCTCCTTTTTCTTCTTCTTCTTCTTCTTCTTCTTTCTGCGCACCTAACCTCGCCCCTTGGAGGAGGCCGCTCGAAGGCGTCCGTTAACGGGTGAGCCGAGCCGGCCTCCTTCCCGGAGCCGGCCTCCTTCCCCCTAACCCAACCCTTCCCCCCACACAAAATTTTTGCGGCGGACGCCCCCGCCCGCCCCGCCCTGTAAAACCTGCAAACCGATGCCATGGAGGGTCCCCTGTCGGCGGCTCCAACCCCCCCCCCCCCCCCCCCCCCCACCCAGCCCCCCACCCCCCCCACCCCCCCTTTCCTCCTTTCCTGTCTTGGGCCGCCCGAGGCGGTGCACGCAAGCGTTTACAATTACCTCCTACCCAACCCGTGACTGTTCTCTCGAGTGGACGGTTTCCCTTCGCCTCTCCACAGCATAGTGGTTTGTGTTTGGCTTTCACAACGTGCCACAAGTACCTTACCACACTCTCTCTCTCTGTCGCTCTCTCTCTCTGTCTGAGCACCTTCAAGGGCCAAATGAGGAAGAACTTAACCAGGCTCATCTGCACCTCCCAGTCCAAAGGGAGGAATCTGGTGGAAGCTATTCATTTGCACTGGTGTAGAGTGGTGCAGACAAGGCACACGGCAGAGCGCAGTCCCCTCGCTGGCCCACATAGTGTTGATGACATGGCCTCGGTTCGACAGATTAGTGCCACATGTCTTTTGGCTTGCTGCAAGGACAAGGCAACATGCGGCGCGATGAGCGAGCCTGTTTGGACTGATCGGAGCAAAGAAAACAACCGAGAAGTCCTCGGCGGTTTACGGGCTAGCCGGCAGAAACTCAGCACAAACCCTTCTGCATCGGGTTCGATTGCCACGCCACCGCATGTTGGGAAGCTAAGTTGCGGTCCCCTTGCCAGGATCTGCCCCATCAGGACTTTGTTGTCTGCGCATGCCCGCGGAAGTGTTGTTTTTGTCCTTTCGTTAGGCAGTTTCCCTCACAACCCCAAATGGTTCTATAGCCTGCATGTCGCAGGTGTGTCCGTTAGGGATCCTGAGGAGCGGCTTACGTCCACGCGCTGTCTGAGTACGGTACGCTCAATCACCCCGGTGGTCCCGTTCCAGTGCCGGCATGGGTTCGAGCTAGCAGCTAGACATCACTGCCGTGAGTTTGAACCTCGAAAACGCAAAGGCCAGCACGTAACAAGTCTTTGAAATTGCTCGCCGGCACATGCTCCATGAGGCACTCCTGTCGGGAAGCATCCGAAATCTTTGCCTCAAGCCAGACGGGCCTTGGATTCCGTGAAAAACTGAAACTGTACCCCTAGCCGTGCTCACCTGCCGTAGCCACCCTTGTTGGGCACGTCTTCACCCCAACCGGCAGTGCCACCGTTTCCAGAGTATCCTTCCGGACGTTCGAGATCATAGGGGCCGGCGCCCCCGCGGAAAGTCTGCTCGAGATGGATCTTGAAGGGTCCCAGCTGAAAGATGCCTGGCACGCTTGCACCAGCTTTGCGCTCCTCTGCGAAAGGCCGCATGCGATATCGGCGGCCCTGCTTGTTGCAGACTTTGTACATGTCTTTTTCGCCGATGAAGAAGCCTTCGGCAACCACCAGCTGCCCGATGCCAGACGGACCGAACTCCATCTTGTCCAAGCGCCAGCCGGGGCGAGCGGTCAGTGATCCCGAGCCCTCACGTCCTGCGCCACAGAATGACAAAGGCAAGCATCCCAGTGCCCAGGCAGCTCCAACCAGGGCGAGCGCAATGCCGCGGACCGTAGCACGAGCCATGTGGGCAAAGCTTTGTTGCTTGCTAAGCCTTCCTGCAAGTCTGGAGCCCTGCCAAACGAATGCAGCCGCCGCAACACATCGCAATCTCCAAAGGTTCACACCTGACGGTCTGCACACACTTGTTTAGGACTGCTTGTGCAGAGCGGCGAGATCTGAGCGCTAGCTTCTCCTTTTTCCGACAAGCAAAGCAACAATTTGTCGGGAGCCAGGCATCCGGGCTGCTTTGGCTCACAAGCTTACTGGTTAGTGTGCTGTCACTGTGCATCTCTGATCCATCTGAAATTTCACACATTTGCAACATCACAAATGAAACTGCGGGGAGTTCGAACCTCGAAAACGCAAAGGCCAGCACGTAACAAGTCTTTGAAATTGCTCGCCGCCACATGGCTCCATGAGGCACTCATGTCGGGAAGCATCCGAAATCTTTGCCTCAAGCCAGGCGGGCCTTGGATTCCGTGAAAAACTGAGAATGTGCCCCTGCCGTGCTCACCTGCCGTAGCCACCCTTGTTGGGCACGTCTTCACCCCAACCGGCAGTGCCACCGTTTCCAGAGTATCCTTCCGGACGTTCGAGATCATAGGGGCCGGCGCCCCCGCGGAAAGTCTGCTCGAGATGGATCTTGAAGGGTCCCAGCTGAAAGATGCCTGGCACGCTTGCACCAGCTTTGCGCTCCTCTGCGAAGGGCCGCATGCGATATCGGCGGCCCTGCTTGTTGCAGACTTTGTACATGTCTTTCTCGCCGATGAAGAAGCCTTCGGCAACCACCAGCTGCCCGATGCCAGACGGACCGAACTCCATCTTGTCCAAGCGCCAGCCGGGGCGAGCGGTCAGTGATCCCGAGCCCTCACGTCCTGCGCCACAGAATGACAAAGGCAAGCATCCCAGTGCCCAGGCAGCTCCAACCAGGGCGAGCGCAATGCCGCGGACCGTAGCACGAGCCATGTGGGCAAAGCTTTGTTGCTTGCTAAGCCTTCCTGCAAGTCTGGAGCCCTGGCAGGCGAACGCTCCAGACATGTAAGGACACAAGATTCTACCTCGATCTCCACTCCCAGCATCACGATTCCATCCGATTTCAACATCTACTACCTACTTCGAAGACTCCGAGTTACGGCCCACTCTGCCAGAGTCCCTTTCATGCCATCCGTGTCGCTCTGTTGATGGCCATGGGCTCTTGCTGGGACTGTATTCGGTCTCATGAAGTCACTCCCAGAATCCATACAGGCAGCCGCATGGGAGACAAGTGAAATCAATTGTACAATGTGCAACCGATGCACTGACCAACATCTTTTCGTCCGCAGATGCGAAGGCAATTCTCAGGCAAGTCAACAGACAATGAACTGCAAAAGCACCGTCAAGAATCCTTGCCTTCATGGAGTGAGGCTTGCAAGCGCCATGCTGTACAGTAGAGTCTGCTCGCGGTGCCTCCAACCAACTCGTTTTGGTGCACCCTGTGCACCTCAACAACTCAAATCTGACAGCGCAGGGAACCCCAAGTGGGTTGTCATGTTGCCCGAACGAGCTAACTCTGGGCTCCGCCCCCCCCCCCTTTCACGAACCAGCAGCCCAAGCACAAGGGCAGCACGTCGGCTTCACGAAGGACTGGATGCTAACCCTGGCACCACTACAGTAGCGTCCAGATCACACAGCTTTTGTTCCATGTGACCTCCAGGACATAGTCAGGCGAGGGTCGGCTCTCGTGCGAGCTTGAGCGCAGCCTCGTCGAGGCACGCGTCGAAGCACGGGCATTCCACCACTGGTGCGCAACGTAAATTGTGCGGTGCTGAGGACTCTGATCACAAGAATACACCAGATTTGTTCTTTGTTCATCCCTGCACCTTCGTTTCTTTCGGCGTTGCCGCTTGGGTGCAGTGCTGGAAGAGCTGGAAGATGTAGAGGAGATCTCCTCCCTGATAGATCAAGCCCACTTTGTCACCTTCTGAAGTCACAGTTTGCCAAGATCCTGGCCGATCATAGCGGGTGTATGAAGGCGATCGCCGTGCTTCTCGCAAGGGCCGGTTGAACTCCTCTGCAAGCCCAAGAAAACGGCACCCAAAGTAGCCTACTGGCAGACGCACTGAGCTGCACTTGACCTTCGCTCCTCTGGATACATCCACTTTGCGGGACTCAAGCTCGGGGATCCCCTGCCCAGCTGCGTTCGCACGAACACAAGAAAACACTCAAGCTTCTCTCTCTCTTTCTTTCTTTCTTTCTTTCTTTCTTTCTTTCTTTCTTTCTTTCTTTCTTTCTTTCTTTCTTTCTTTCTTTCTTTCTTTCTTTCTTTCTTTCTTTCTCTCTCTCTCTCTCTCTCTGGCAACTTGGCCTTTTCTCCACTTCTGCCATCTCCGGAGGAAGATAAACCTTCACACAGAGGGCGCTCGCTCACTTCATGGTGGAGAACTACTTCCTCGGTTGCCAAGAAACTCCTCCTGCACGGCTTCTCCATGCACCCTTTCTCGTGGGCCACATTGTCCCGTTGGTGCCTGTCGACAAGTCTGTTGAAAACACCAGCTGCTGACACATGACATCATATGGCATGTGACATATGTGGCTCCCGGGGCCAAGGAGGCCAAACTTGCCGGAACTTTAGGACCGGACGCAAGCGGCAGGGAGATGGAGACCGGCGAAGGTAGCCCAAATGGTCCCACCTGGAGCTGGAAGCCCACGCAGTGATGCCCCCATAGCAAAACTGCCTGCATCAAGCAAAGTAAGTCGATCACTCGGGCTCATCTGCAGCAACTTGTGACATCTGATGTTCTTCGTCCAATCGCAGCTTCCGAAGCATCTGGCACCAGGGATGTTGCCAGTGTCAGGACTTTGCAAATGCTACTGGCTGATGGGTCCTCGTACGCCCGCATGTCGTACGCTGCATTGAGCGGATTGAGAGGGTCGTGGGGAACCGAAATTGCCTTGGGCACACCTGCAAGGAATGTGTAAGCATGGATCTATGGCTTGCCGAACAACACGACAGCAATGCTGCCTGACCCTTCTGATTTCTCCAGCTCATCAAGCTGCGCAACCAACTCCTCCAAGCTGCGGAAAGGAGCCGGGCCTGGCACTTGCAGATATGCAAGGGAGCGAAAACTGAGAAGATGAAACGTGCGACGTAAGAACCCATTGGCCCAAAGCTGAAACCGTGTGATCTTGGAATCACGGCCTTGCTCCTTTGCTTCGTCGAGCTTCCCCGGATTTCCGTCTGCCTACATCGAGAGCGTACGCTCCAGCTCTCAGGGCTCTCAAGGGCCTTTCAAAAGTTTGCAATATTTTCCAGTGGCAAGCAGTTTTTGCCCCGCATTTGCCCCTTTCCTCGCGCCAGTTGCACGCGCCCTCGATCAGGCTGTCAATGGCATCCTGCAGGCCTCTTTGGTGCGAAGGCACTGATATGCAAAGAGCACTGTGCTGAAAGGCGATATCACTTCTGCCACTAAGTTGCTACGAGTCTACTACGAGTTCTGTAGCGTCTAGGGGTGCTAGTGGGCACCCCTCTCTTACACGTAGTTTTGTCTTGTTCGGCCTGGGTCTGCTTCCAAAGCCGCCTCCAACTCCTCTCACAGAAAAAATAGGCCGGCGTCGGGTTCGGCATATGCCCAGGAGCTTTCACAGGATGGAGAAAAGGAGAAGAAAAGGAGAAGAAAAGGAGCGAAGGCCAAAACCAAAGAAGTTGCCCCAAGAACTCGACAAGAGATGAAAGTTCAGCGATCCGGTGAGGCCTGTTGCTCTTGTCGGAAACGTTCCCGCTCCTGGGAGACAAGCTTTGGGCGTAGTGCAGCGCAAGTGGCAGGGGGTCAGTTGATCCCTTTTTTTGAAACCACCCGAAGAATATAATTGGGATTTGTTGGGTCTACTTCTCCACACACCATCAAGCAATGGCGCATGGCCGTATTGACAGAGCATTACCTATGGAGCAACAGAGCGCAACGCCGGACGCCGTGTGCAGCACACTCCTTGGGACTCCTTGGGTACACCCTCGGGCGGCCTCACAAAGGCTGCTATTTAAAGCCTGCTGCTTTTTGCGCCAAACCGCCACTTTTGGCCAACGCGTATTAACATGATCCCACCAATGCGTGCTAATAATGTGCTACGGTTTGAGCCTGGATATGCTGTCTCTCCTGCGCTCCTATACACCTTTTGCACCTTTTTGAACTGAATAACTGTCCCAGGTGACATCAAGAGACACATTCGCATCTGAAATGGGGACAAGCCAGTACCAATCCCCAGTTCTGACTTTGCCTGTGTCTATCCGAGTCTGCAAACATGCTCACACCTCTGGAATATCAGGTGTCACATGCAATTCAAGCAAGAAATGTGACATGGAAAGCCGTCCTCACGCTTGAGCCTACGCTGCTCGCGACGCATCTGTTTTGCAATCTTCCTGCATGAAGGCAGGCGCCACTAGCCCAAAAACATACTTGCTTCGACTCCCCGTGTCCTCCGCCTCTTCATCTCGTGTGACTTGGCCTGAAAAAAAAAGACAACAGACATAAGATGCGTTGATTGTGTTTCTTGATGAGCACCCGGACTTGAAGTAGACCAAGATCGTTTGAGGTCGCGTCACCTGACAAATACACGGCAACAACGCTACTTAGGCAACTCGCCTCGCAACCAGTGACCTGAGCACAGCCCAGACATCCTTTTGCAACGGGGCGGGAGATCGTTTAGAGTTTCTAAATGCCTTCCTCAGGAGACCTTCTTCAGCAGCACAGCATACGAAGGAAACTCCCAAGTAAGTTGGCTTGAGCCGGCGATCTTCGAAGAGTCTTCGACAAACAAGTTCGCCTCCTCCAGCACCTCCAGCTCCACGAACGACCCAATGTCCGCCCGAAAGCAATCGTACCACTTCCAAGGCCCCACCAGGTTAGCGCGATTCCAACCGATGAAGGCTCGGCCGCCGATCCGAAGCTTGCGGACAAGCTGATGTGCCACTTCACACTGCTCCTCGAAACTGAGATGCCGCAAGGCCCCATAAGAGAACACATGATCGAAGAGGCCATTTGGGATCCACTGTAGCTTGCGACCATCAGCCACGCAGCTCAAGCCCAGGCTGTACTTTGCAGCCCAGGCAGCTGCTGGCATGATGTCAACCCCCAAAGAATCCACGTCATAGTATGCTTTGGCCCAAGACATGGCAAATCCGCAGCCAGATCCCCACTCCAAAAGTAGCTCGCCCGGTCGGAAACTAAATCGCTCAGCAATCACAACGAGCACACACTTGAGTGCATCCTGAACGTCTGCGCTCCAGGTACCACGCTGAGATTGGCAGCCCCCGTCCGAGGCTCGAATCCGGTACTTTTTCATGTCAATCATGTTGCCGATGTTGCCCTCATCTTCTGACCCTTCCGTGTCGTCCTCCCACCCCCACCACGCGGACTCATTGATCAGATTTGGACACCTCAAAGAAAAGAAGCTCTGTCTACGCTGGCTCAAGTCAACATTTTCTGCCTGACAAGGTGGCATAAACGGGCGACGCAGATCAAAACCACAGGATGCAGGAGAAACACAAGTCTCATTGATGTGGTTGAGGCATTTACCTCCAGCCAATCTGCGATCGCCTCTCCGCAACTCATCAAACCTTTGAGACCAAGAAGAAGCAGCAGGGCTGTCAACCCTAAGCTGATGGGCATGAACGGGCGGCAGGACATGCTGAAACAAATCGCCACCACGATCTCTGCGACTACGACAAGTTGTCAGCAGCTGCACATCGCTTCTCCTCACAGCACACTTGGATTCCCAGAGGTCTCCTCTGGGTATGAACCGGCGGGAAATGTACATCCCGGCGTCAGGTAGGCTGCAAAGTGTTCGGGGCTCCACAGGATGCAACTGCGAGTACAGTAGTTGCTGCGCCCCCAGTAGCGGGAAGGGGAAGAGCGGTCGCCAGAATCGGATCCGCTGCCTCTGGATTGGAGACATGCCATCCCGCTCCCTTCCAGCTTGCCAGCTAGGCAAGCAATCAGGAAGATGATGCTCTTCTTGAATCACGCCTGCAGCAGTGAATTGCTTGTGCACCGTGGCAACCGCTTGAAGCCCTGGCCAACAGTTCAACGAGCAGCTCTGAATGCGTCCCCATATCCGCTTCACAAAATCCAGAAGATCTTGTGCCGGAGCACAGGTCGCCGCGACCTCACAGTGCTGGCAAGTCAAGCGCAAGAACTCTTCCCAGCCCTCTGCCTGCGAACAGTCGCTGTCAAGTTCATTGACATTGCAAATGTCAGGCATTGAGGCATGGCTTACATGGCTTAAGCCGAGACATGCCCAAAATGATATGCATGCAATGACTGGCACACTTCACTTCCAGCACTGGACAGCATTAGGCCTTCGCCGGCCGGGATCGGAACGGGTGCGTCGTCCACGTTCTCGTGCGCTTCGATTGCATCGTTGGCGATCTGTGCCTTCTTGCTCCTCTCTTTATTCTTTCCATGCTTCTTTTCTTTCTTGTCCTTCTTGGATTTCTCCTCCATACTGGAAGGGGTTCTGGATGTTGACAATCAACAGCAAGCAAGAGTCTGAGAAGCAGGAACTAGCCAACAGATGAATGACCCCTGGTACACTGGTACCAGCAGATCCAAACAACCTCTAGTACCTATCAGATGTCCCGAAGATGCAAGCACCTACTGTATGACTGTGTGCCACCAACTTAATTGCACTGCAACTGCCTTTGTTCGGCGATTGGGTGGCCTATCTCGGCCTAGTTCGACATATGCTGCTAAGCACATTGGCACTCGAATGAAAATGGAGAGATATTGCCTCCAATCGCAGCGTACATGAGCCATCAATCCCATGAACCCCAGCCAAGTCATTTCATGTCGAAGGGTCTTCACGGTCTTCGTTTTCGGTGTTCTCCGTTTTGCCAGTCACTTTTTCGTCTCTCTCTCTCTCTCTCTCTCTCCCTCTTCTTCTTCCTCCTCTACGAGCATGAAGGCCAGCGAAGGCGCTTTTGACCATCGGGCACTGTCTTTTGGTCGACAAAATGGGAAGAACAGCTTGTTCGGTCTCTTGCTCGCTCCTGCTGTTCCTGGGGCTGTCAATCGATGGCAGCTGTCTTCCTATGGGGCTGAGCGCGCCTCACTTGCGAGTGTGTGCGTACACACCTCTGCACCGAAGAGAACAATGAAATCGGTTCGCCGATTCATGATTCTGCTGCTTGCTTTCGCGTCTTCGGCGAAACAGCGTCTGCAGGTCACCATCGCATTCTTGCTAAAGCACAGTATGCCCAAGGAAGGGCAGCGCCTGGGAAGCTGAGGCGCTCATAACACAAGACAGCGCTTTTGAGTGTTCGCCAGTGTTTTGTCAGGGGGGATACCCCATAGCAGGCCCAGGGTCGAGTAAACATGTTAATACTCGAGTATGCATCCGGGGGGCTCCTCGTGGACTTACTTGTCCAGCGTGCGCCCTGCGATGCGCACTGGGCGCTGAACGTGATGTTTACTGGACCACACGCGTGTCCAGTAAACGCCGCGTTAAGACTCATTGCGCGTCCTCCTTTTTTATCTTCAAACGTTCTTCCATGTGATTTTTAGAACGTTTTGTCTTCCCATGTTGTTTTCCTAACTCCTTGGCCATGGTTTGCTTCTAGTGTTTATCCTCTTGGTTTCAGACCATTCTTTGAAAGGTTTCGAAGATGTAGAGTTTTACTTCTTTGTTCAATGGTTCAGGATCAGGTGTTAGTCGAACAACATAAGGTTAACTGCAATCTTTCGACATGTAAGGCGTAAGGCCATTCTTTTGCGGTTTGGAATTCTCTTTCTAAATTCTAAGGTTGTTTGTCTTGAAGGATTAAAGGCTTCTCTTGTTTGAGGCTGTGCTTTTGAAGGCTTCCAACCGTATGGCACCAGGGCGCGGCCCTATGCATTTTGCCAGCTGAAACATGCATAGCGGGCTTCCCGAAGGACAGCTGCCTTCCCTGTCACGCTGCGAAACGCCGGGAAGGAGCCCTGTTCATTTTGCAGCGGCCGGAAAATGCAGGGTGGGGAGTCCCGCGGCGCGAGACACGGGGAAATTCCTGTGCATTTTGCGGCGGCCGGAACATGCATGGCGGGGTGTCCGAGGGGGGTAAATGCCTTTGGCCTGGATGCGCACTGGACGCTTAACATGATGTCTACTGGACGCTTAAAGCGATGTTTACTCGACCCTGCCACCCCCCCCCCCCCCCATGGCCCACACTGACATCCGAAAGTGGGCTGACAACTTCCTTTCGAGAGTGCGAGTCTCTGCTTTCGTGCGCGAACTTAGGCGCTTGCATCGCACCAAACGAAAGGCTGAGTTGATGCAGTATGTCACTGCATCGGATGCCAGCACCAAGTTCAGCACTGTATTCAACACTTACCCCTCCCTCTCCCCTGCCCTGCCTCTCGCTCTGCGACAGGCTGCTTCTATGGCTCATGGGTGGGCACTTATCCAACCCAGTACAACTGGTTACATACAGAATGGTAATGTCCTTCTTGTGCTTCCTCGCGGATGGATCAAGGCTTTCTTTGGCACCGTCCTTGAACGCCGGCAAGTCAATGAAGAGAAGCGGGCACACTCCGCGTGTGCAGCTTCCATATGCTTGCATGTCCCCTGGGCCCTGGGCCACAGCGTCCACATGTTGCCCTACACAGGTCCCTCTTGTCAGCAGCGAGGAAGACCGTTGCACGGACGAGGGGAGCCCCTGGAGCCCCACACCTCACAGCATCTGTCTGCTTTGTCTCTGGCGCATCTCCAATTTTTGGCCTGTACAACGTTGGCCTTTGGTGTTGAGGCTGCGTTTCTCACCATTGGTCTTCCTGCTGGGAGAGAGACCCCGCACGGCTTCCGGCGACACCGGCAAAAGAGTAAGCAGGGCATCTGGTGACATCATGGCCTCGCGATCTGCTGCTGTACCTCAGGCAATCTTCGTGCCCAGCTTGCAGCTTCGAGCTCCGCCTTCGTTCATGCAGAAAAAAAGGGGCTCAAAGGCCAATGGTGCATGTCACATCCCCGCCTCTGTAAAGCCAGCTCCTGGCGTGCCATTCAGAAAGAGCAGAGTCTCAGCAGAATGGGAAGAATGGGAAGTGCTCCACTGCGTGCTCCTGCACCTGTCTTGGCCGCGTGGCGGGCAGCAGTGCGAGCAGCAGCAATCTCTTCATGGCTCTTGATGAACCTGCGACAAATCTCAAGATGCCACGATGTGCCAGCATGACTCGGACTTGGCACAAACGAAACAAAAGGCTGCTGGCCTGGACATTGCGCGTGGCCATGACCTGCACATCACTCCAACAGAATCATGTCCCATCCTTGGCCTGAAGAGCTCTGAGAAGTCTGAGCCTCCAAGAGGGAACCAGCAGCTCTGTGACGTGCTTTGGGGTGCCACGTGACACTCATAACGTGTCCTTGTGTATCTCGTTGTGTCAGTGTGGTCGCCTGCCCTGACTTGGTGATACTTTGTGCGAGGGAATCGTTGGCCAACATCGTGTCTGATGCTTGTGTGCAAACAGAGCAAGGGCACGTTCCTTCAACAAGTAAAGGCAGCAAGCTCCAATACAACTCGGCACTTGCGGCACTTGCAGAAGCTCTTTTGCAGTTGCCTGCGGCTTCAATCCTCGAGTGATACGAAGTGAAGCTGCTGATCCTACTCCGTCCTACGAGTACTGTCGCATGTCGCTCAAGTACGCGACGCGTCCTACCATGGAGTGCGACTAAAGCTTTACTGTTGCAGCAGCGGCAGCAGCGGCATCAGCGGCAGCAGCGGCAGCAGAACGCATTACCCAAGATTGCCCTGCCCGCCGCTTACACCAAGATGTCCTCCTCAGCTGGGATGGCGCTTGCATCTAAGTCCTCATTCTCGCCAGTGCGCTGTACTTCTTGGTTCCCATTCGTCTCTGACAGCTCCACAACTGCATCTTTGGAATCCGCTGCCTCCTGGCCGGGAACACTGGACACTGCATGCTAGCAGTACGGGTGTCCATGGTGTCCAACTGCAAACAACTTGAAAATAACTTGAAGCAACCTGTCGTACATGCATTAGCTATTGTGAGGTCTTTGGGGCTCACTAAAAGTACTACGAATAAGAGCCCCATAATTAATGTTAAATCGAAAGAAACAAGAGAGAATATCTTGGAATACTGTTCACACGTCGGTAGAAAAGGGCCCATGCTCGCAGTCTCAGCGCCTAGGATACTATGATTTTTACCGTTGTTCCTAAGATACCAATCATAAAAAAGCCAATAAACCCTTCGAACGACCGGATGTTAAACCAGAATGAACCGTGTAAACCTTAGTACTAAATACAAACCCGGCAATCGACGGCAAGTTCATTCACTTCTTTGATCCCAAGTTGTGGTTCTGTTCATTTATCGGCGAGCACGGCCCACACGAAGCACAAACGTCCCATTCCCGACATGATGCAAAATATAGGCATGCCCTTGGGTAGGGGCAGGGTTTGCCTCAACCGACCCACTTCGAGGGGCTCCAAACGAGGGTAGGGGGGGGGTGCAAAGCCATGCAGGCCATGCTCCTCTTCAGTCTCGTCACAGCGGCTGTGCGGAGGGCCGTCTTCTCCGACATCGCCATCCTGCAGGAACCAAAATTCAAGCGCGAGCCAGACTCAACGAAAGCTAGCAGCACGCGCCCACGCTACGACAGCATTTCTGCCACGCACACCCTAGGCGGACACCAGCGAACAGCGCAATTCACATGAATGGCTATTTCGAACGTACGTGACATTCTGTGGCGCATAAAGCCTGCGAAGGGATGACCGTGTTATTGTACCGTATCATACCTCGTCTTCTGGGGTTGGGTAGGCTGGCTAAACTTTGAATTGAATTCTCCGTGAAGCGCAGGCAAAGCTGGGCGCAGCTGCAACCGTGTGCCTGCGCGCACAAAAAGTGCCTGAAAAACAGATGCGCATGTGTACTTGAAAGCTTGTGCGCTGTACATGCGCAACAGGCGCGCGAGCAATGTGATCGAACACGGGGCTGTCTGCAGGGGAGACAAGGAAACTGCCTTACATCCAGCGCGCAGGTACCTGAAGACCATGACAACCAAGACCCCGGATCGAGGATGGGCAGCGGAAAGAGAAAAAGGGTGAGGGAGCAACAGGGTCGCGAGGCAGAGACACGGAAGAAAGAATGAAAGCATCAAAGGTGTGCTTGTCATGTAGCACCCGGCGGCCGGGTGCTACACCGCTGGTGCTGAGGATGAAAGAATGAATTGCACGGACAGGGCTGGGAAGCTTTCAGTCCAGGGGCCATGCAGACCCTGTCTCAGCAGAAGCTGGAGCAGCAGATTCAACAGTGATTCAACGATCGGGGCTCTGCTTCTACATTGCCGCTCGAAATTTCAGGGTCTCCAACATGTCCGTCTGCCCGTCTGGAGGTACGGCTGGGTAGCGGCAAGGCATAAACTCTGTGCAGCTGCTAGATGGGGAAGACATCACTTTCACAGCACCCCCCCCCCTCTGCCCTCTTGCGGTGCAACACTTTCAGGCCTGGCGCTGCATCAACGGCTCTGCAGGAGACTCTGCCGGCTGCTTGGAATGCTCCGCAGATGTGTCTGGCACCTGCGAGGCTCGATCTTCCAGTTGTTCGCCGTTCTCTGACTGGTACAAAGGGACCTGGCAAGCGAAGTCAGGCCAAGCATCGCACGTAACAGCAAGGGACAACTAAAGGACAACTTGGCCGCAACTGCCTGAAGACCCAGCAGGCTTCCAGCCAGGCTCTCAGCAGCTGAAGGAAGACCCAACTCTGAGAGGAACTCTTGGTCTGGAGGCACAATGTACACCTCAAAGCTCACATGCCTTCAATCTGGCAAAGCTTTCGGCAAACTTGCACAAGGCAAAGCGGCACCGCAGCTAAACAACTTAGGAGCCCCACCACGCTTCGAGGCATTTCCGCCAGCCCCACGCGCTTGCGGGAGACAAAATAATTCCGAAGGGCCGCCCAGGCATCCTGCCGTTGTCGGCGATATCGGTGGTGTGTACGCGGCGTGTACGTGGCGTGTACGTGGTTGACAGCAACGGTGCCCCAACCAAACTTGCCTTCTCCCGAGGCTCTAACAAGGAGAAATGCCAGACCTTGCCACAGGCTGCTTCCTGCCCCCGCCCTTCATACAAAGAATGCTTTTCTGCCAAAGAAACCGTGGTGAGGTTTTCCGCCCACTGCAGATGCCTGCGACCTGCGAGCAGCTTCGATGATAGTCGATGATATTAATTGATCTAATCGCACAACGAAGTCGGGGCAACTGCAATGCTCCAGGCGCACTCGCTGATCGATGTCCAGCCTCTAGGATGCTCGCAAACACGCAAACTGTCTGATAACATGTGGATGGCTAGTCACTGGTTTCATCGTGTTTCGAATCATCGTGCTTGGAATGCGAACAAGATCAGCAAGACTCCGCACGATATTGACGGCATTTGAGGATGTGGTAGGGTCTATATAGTCTAATCAGGTTTCATGGTTTGGTGCAATGTGGCGTGGCATAACTCGGGTGATGGAAAGGCGGAGGGAGGGGCGAGGGGACCTCTCCATGAAGACAAATTACACCACCGAAGACCCCAAACAGTAGAAGGAAGTTACACGTGTAAAGTGAGGTTCCTTCATACTATACGCGAGCCACTGCACCTAACTTGGCTGGGGCAACAACCGACAACGCAGGAACCCTAAAGTTTGTTCCAGCCAGACATCAGAACCCTCTACGGAGTAGAGACGAGCCACCGCGCACGAGCCACCGCACGCAAGCCACCGCACGCGAGCCACCGAACGCGAGCCACCGCACGCGAGCCACCGCGCGCGAGCCGCCGCGCGCGAGCCACCGCGCGCGAGCCACCGCGCGCGAGCCACCGCACACGAGCCACCGCACGCGAGCCACCGCACGCGAGCCACCGCAGGCGAGCCACCGCAGGCGAGCCACCGCACCTAAATCAGCCGGGGCAGCAAGTGACAACGCAGCAACCTAAATGTTTGTTGCAAACCAGGAACTGGCGAGCCACCGCACGCGAGCCACCGCACGCGAGCCACCGCACGCGAGCCACCGCACGCGAGCCACCGCACGCGAGCCACCGCAGGCGAGCCACCGCAGGCGAGCCACCGCACGCGAGCCACCGCGCGCGAGCCACCGCGCGCGCGAGCCACCGCACGCGAGCCACCGCACGCGAGCGCACGCGCCACCGCACGACCGCCAGCCGCAGCGAGCCACCGCGCGCGAGCCACCGCGCGCGAGCCACCGCACGCGAGCCACCGCACGCGAGCCACTGCACGCGAGCCACCGCACGCGAGCCACCGCATGCGAGCCACCGCAGGCGAGCCACCGCACCTAAATCCGCCGGGGCAGCAATTGACAACGCAGCAACCAAAATGTTTGTTGCAAACCAGGAACTGGCGAGCCACCGCACGCGAGCCACCGCACGCGAGACACCGCACCTAAATTGGCTGATCAACAATTGAGTTGACAACACAAGAACCCAACAATTGACAGCAATCCAGGAACTAGCGAGCCACCGCGCGCGAGCCACCGCACGCGAGCTACCGCGCGCGAGCTACCGCGCGCGAGCTACCGCGCGCGAGCCACTGCACACGAGCCACCTCGCGCGAGCCTCGCGAGCCACCGCGCGCGAGCCACCGCACGCGAGCCACCACGCGCGCGAGCCACGCACCTAAATTTGGCAGGGGCAACAGCTGACATCGCCGGAGCCTAAAGGTTTTTTGCGTGGTACTCACACACATGCAACCCAGGAACTGTTCAGGCAGCCATACACAAGTCCGTCACGTCTTCTATAGAGTTTAGCCACTGCAGACGGCAACAGCGAAAAAAGTTGCAGACGAAAAGGGTCTGACAGTACCAGGCATTTCTGCGTGGGCATGCACTGCAGAATACGCATTACTGCAGATGGTTTTCAACAGGATTCATATGCGTTATGCTTGCCCGGCTAAAAAAGCGGGGGGGTTGGGGGCCCATTTGCAAACACAACGCTCGCGTGATGGGCGCGCTTGCAGGGCTAAAAAAAGCGGGGGGTTGGGGGGCATAGCCCCCACCCCCCCCCCACCCACCATTTGCAAGCGCAATGGCTTTCAACAAGATTCATACGCTTTGTGCTCGCACGGCCACAGAAGCGGGGGGGTTGAGGGGGGGGGCGCAGCCCCGCCCCCCCCCCCCCCACACCGCTCGCGCGGTGGATTTCAATAAGATTGCTTGCTTGCGCGCGGGATGGCTTTGCTGCGCTCCTGCTTGCTTGCTTGCTTGCTTGCTTGCTTGCTTCGCTTGCTCCCGTTGCCGCTTGGTTACTTGCTTGCTTGCTTTCGTGCGATGGGCTTCACTAAGGTTGCTGGCTTGCTTGCTTGCGCGCGGGTTGCGCTCCTGCTTGCTGGCTTGCTTGTTTGCTTGCTTGTTTGCTTGCTTGCTTGCTTGCGGGAACCCAGCAGAGGCCACCCGCATGAAGGGACACAAAGGGACACAAAGGGACACAAAGGGAGACAAAGGGAGACAAAGGGAGACAAAGGGAGACAAAGGGAGACAAAGGGAGACAAAGGGAGACAAAGGGAGACAAAGGGAGAGGGAGACAAAGGGAGACAAAGGGAGACAAGGGAGGCAAAGGGAGACAAAGGGAGACAAAGGGAGACAAAGGGAGACAAAGGGAGACAAAGGAAGACAAAGGGAGACAAAGGGAGACACGATGCTCAGGAACCCGGCAATGGCCACCCACATGAAGGGAGACAAAGGGAGACAAAGACTAGAAGCTCAGGAACCCGGCAAAGGCCACCCGCATGAAGGGAGACAGAAGGAGACAAAGACAAGACGCTCAGGAACCCGGCAAGGGCCACCCGCATGAAGGGACACGAAGGGAGACAAAGGAGACAAGACGCCCAGGAACCCGGCAAAGGCTACCCACATGAAGGGACACAAACGGAGACAAGATGCTCAGGAACCCGGCAAAGGCCACCGACATGAAGGGAGACAAAGAGGGGGACAAAGGGAGACAAAGGGAGACAAGACGCTCAAGACCCACAAAGAGAGACAAAGCGAAACAAGACGCTCAGGAACCCGGCAAAGGCCACCCACATGAAGGGAGACAAAGGGAAACAAAAGGAGACAAGACGCTCAGGAACCCGACAAAGACCACCCCCTGAAGGGAGACAAAAGGAGACAAAGGGAGAGAAGACGGTCAGAATTCCGGTAAAGGCCACCCACATGAAGGGAGACAAAGGGAGACAAAGACAAGACGCTCAGGAACCCGGCAAAGCAAAGGGAGACAAAGGGAGACAAGACGCCCAGGAACCCGGCAAGGCCACCCACATGAAGGGAGACGACAAAGGGAGACAAAGGGAGACACAGGAAGACAAGACGCCCAGGACCCGGCAAAGGCTACCCACACACACAGGGAGACAAACGCCCAGGAGCCCGGCAAAGGCCACCCACCAGAAGGGAGACAAAGGGAGACAAGCGGAGAGAGGGAGACAAAGAGAGACAAAAGGAGACAAAGGGAGACAAAGGGAAACAAGACGCCCAGGAACCCGGCAAAGCCACCCCCATAAGGGAGACGAAGGGAGACAAAGGGAAACACAGGGAGACAAGACGCCCGGGAACCCGGCAAAGGCCACCCACATGAAGGGAGACAAAGGGAGACAAAGACTAGACGCTCAGGAACCCGGCAAAGGCCACCCACATGAAGGGAGACAAAGGGAGACAAAAGGAGACAAGACGCTCAGGAACCCGGCAAAGGCCACCCCCTGAAGGGAGACAAAAGGAGACAAAGGGAGAGAAGACGGTCAGGATTCCGGTAAAGGCCACCCACATGAAGGGAGACAAAAGGAGACAAAGACAAGACGCTCAGGAACCCGGCAAAGCAAAGGGAGACAAAGGGAGACAAGACGCCCATGAAGGGAGACAAAGGGAGACGAAGGGAGACAAAGGGAGACAAAGGGAGACAAAGGGAGACAAAGGGAAACAAGACGCCCAGGAACCCGGCAAAGGCCACCCACATGAAGGGAGACAAAGGGAGACAAAGGGAAACAAAGGAAGACAAGACGCTCAGGAAGCCGGCAAAGGCCACCAAGACGCAGGGAGACAAAGGGAAACAAAGACAAGAAGTCCAGGAAGCCGGCAAAGGCCATCCACATGAAGATGAAGGGAGACAAGGGGAGACAAAGGGAGACAAGAAGCCCAGGAACCCGCCAAAGGCCACCCACATGAAGGGAGACAAAGGGAGACAAAGGGAGACATGGTGCCCAGGAACCCGGCAATGCTCACCAGAATGCCGGCAATTCCTTAAACGAATTTAGGACCCCAACAGTAGAACTCTTTGGGGAACAACACCCAATGCACCTTTCGTTTGCTTGGTTTGGGTTGGCTTGTCCCGAAGACCGCCCTTGATAAGTAAAGACGGGTAATACAATTTAGCCTATCCATTTGCACAGTGTGCACCTACTCGTCAAATTATTTAAGCATCTCGTTCTTGAACTTCTGTAAGCTTCTTGCCGTCGGCTTTCAGGGAGAGCGGTCTCGCTGCCACCCACGAAATGCGCCGCAACGTCGCAACATTTGGCGCCCAGCCTCATAACAAGCTACTTGCACTTTCACTCGAATGTGCCATAGCATGGACAGATCATTGATCCGACTTGCAGCTGCGCTTTGTTCGAAATTCTCTTTGCGGCCAGGCGACTTGTAGAGCTGCAGCTTCTCTTCTGGGGCCTGCAATGCCTGCAGAGCATCTCCAGTTTAAGAATGCCGCTCCCACTCTTTCCATGCTCCCGCCTCGCTTCCCACCTTTGCTCCGGTGCTTGGCACTGAAGCAACTGGCATGTCCTCGATTTCCTGCGCTGTTGGCGGAGCTGCAGGAAGCAAAGATGTGTTCGAAATCCCGTCTCCTCCACCTCATCATCCTCAGGTTCCTGCTAGCACCCTATAACTTAGCTTAACATAGAGTGGGAGCTATTGACTCGAGCAAAAAGGCAACTTAAAGGGCCTCCGACTCATCTCCTTCGGAGTCCGATTCAGATTCCGAGGCCGAGGAGTTCGACCTCCAAGCGTTTCAGCCAAGTTCTCCGATAGATGCTCTATCCTTGTGGCAACACTGTCCTGTTGCCCTTTCCACGTATATGCATGAGGAGCGGGCTTGGAAGATTCTCCATCAACCATCACTGCCTCTTGGGAAACTGTCTCTGGGCCTGAAGAACAGGCAAGCCACGATTGTACGTCTTCGAGGCCAAATGGTTTTTGCATCCAACGAAGGTTGTAACATGTTGCAACCTTCGTCGTCCCGCTCACTCGGGACGAGGCCAGGCACTGTCTGCATCTTGGCCTTGCGTTTGTGTGCCACGACGCTGCTTGGAGGTGGCATCAGGCTATCCTGCGGAGCTGTGGCACCGAAAGGCAGTCTCAAATCCACGTATGGATAAGGCACCTCCGCCACAGGAGCTGACGCGGTGCCGTCCTCGGCATTTGCCTGCAACTCGATCTGTGCATGAATACGCATACACACACATACATACATACGTACATACATACATGCATATCATATGCTTTGTGCTTCGTTTGGGTGCTGGCTGCTCTCAAGACTCTGCAAGACAGGTGGCAGATGAATGCGTCCTAAATCATATGTGGTTCCTTGCAGGCTGAAGTGCATGCTGCTCCATACTGCCCTCTCGCTGTAGGCTGCGCGCTGTCACGGAAATTCTGGGCAAAATGCTGGGGCGGCCAAAGCAACATGCCTCCTTCAGCATCACCACGTATGGATCCTCTGCTAGGTTCTCACGAACCAAATAAGGATCGGACTCCTGAGGTCGTCATGGGACAGGAACGGCCATAGAGAGCATTGTCAAATACAACCAAAGGGAACACCAAGTACGAGCATCACGCCACACCACAAGGACAAACACGACGCGGTTTTTTGTCATTTTTGTGGCCGTTAGCAGAAAGCACCGAGAGAGAAATTCGCCGCGGCTTCCTGCCGAGAGGCGTCTAGATCAAGCAGACCAGGATCCGGTCTCCTTCCCCCCTTCCCAACCTCGCACCCCTTGCGAAGCTTCAAGAAAAAGCGTGTGTATATATATATATATATGGGTATATATATATATATACATTCTCGAGAACACAGCATGCCACAAAACAATGCGAAGAAACATGTCGCATGACTTAACATGATCCTACAGCATACGTACGATGCTATGGACTTAAAAGATGTACCACGGTACAACTTCACAAGTCCAACACAGCATGTGTTAACTTCTTGTTGAAGTTTGAAAAAAAAGCGAAATACGGCGCTCTCTGCATGCAAGGGGCTAATCTAGTCCGAGCCCGTTTTCTGGACTTCTCATTCTCGGACCTGCGGCTGCCCCGATCCAGCCATGCCTGGGCCAGTCTTGCCACCTGACATACACAGCAGAGCACAGCAGGGCCACCACCAGGGTCATGATCCATGTGTCACATGCAGAAACTCTCGCGCCTCAAGATGGGCATCCAAAGTGTGAGGATGACCGCCAGGTGGTGCAGCCGTTGCAGTTGAAGGTGACGGGGACGGGGTGAAGTTGACAGGGGGCGGGGGTGGTGCTGATGGAATGGCTGCTGCAAGGGGTCCCAGGTATGGCGCAGTGAGAGGTGGAGGCAATGAATGAGATGCATCCATCATCCGCAATGGTGCAGATCTGACAGGCACTGGAGTGGAGGGCGTCATGGGTAGACATGGCATCGCAGCCGGCGGCCTTCCACGTGCAGGAGCAATTTATTCGTGGGCAAGTCTTGATCTATGTCACAGGGTTGCCACAATTTGCCATAACTGAAGCCGTGCGGCGTCGGGAGCACCACTGGCTCTACAGTGCGAGGGAGCCGCACGGCAAAGGCTGCGGGAACTCCCCGCACCTTGGGTCCTCAGGCCAAGGAAGGACGAATATCTCCGAATATTCGTCTATCTAAGCCATGCACACGAAAACCAGAGCTTCCACCAAATGAGGGGATGGCGTGGAGGAAGTTGCGTTGGCACCGTAGGTGGTGTAGGTGTTGTAGGTGCTGAAGGGGCCGTACTCTTTGGAGTTGTGCCGAGCCCTTGCACCTGGTCTTCTTTGCTTCTTGGCTCTGCTCTACTTTTCCACACTCGTCATGCACCATCTCAAACCCAGACTGCCAGGTCGCCAACACGTAACCCCAGGAATCACACAAGGATGCTACAGATCCAGGCTCCCGGAGACAACCACCCAGCTCCCACATGCTCCCACAAATAACATGGATTGACCCGAAGCAACAGAGGCAAATGAATGGCTGCATGTAAACATAAACTGACAATAGACTTGCGTTGACCTACTCGACTATTGAACTACACCCTGGCATCTTGGCATAAACAAGCGTACGAGCGTTCATCAAAAAACCATCTGTGCCATCTGTGTTCCCTTCGCTCAACGCATGGCATGGCATCAGCATCGCCTGCTGCCCCAGCAGGCTGGTAGAAGGTGTGTCCACAGAGTCTGGTGCCCACAGGCCAGACGCAGAGGCAGATGGCAAGACCTCTCAACAGCAGAGCTCCGAGAAAAAACATAAAAACTGCACTGCCCGGCGCGCCTGCGGTTCATGTGCCTCCTCCGGCCAAAGGGAGTTGGAAGCCATAGGCAATGAATTTGCAAACGGCATGGGAAAAAGAGGAGGCATCGGTGTCGGCAGCGGTGGCATGAGGCCCTGAGCCCCGTGAGCCCCGTCGATCCTGCGCTTGAATTGGCGCAGAACACGTTGCGTCACACTTATCCTGAGCACTCCTGGTAGACTCCTGCCTTTCCACCCGGATCTTTTCGAAGGCATCCTGCACCTTGTCGCAAACTCGCAGTCCGAACTGGAGCCCTCAAGAAGTTCAGCAAGTGACAGGACCTGGTCGTCTGTCAGCCCAAGGAGATCAGCAGCAACATCACAAGCTGTTTCGCACAGGTCTACAACGTCGGCTTCCGCCTCTGCAACGCCACACGTGGCACACGTAGAGAGCAAATCTTGCAAAAGCAGAGGCGACACATGCGTGCGAGACATCATTCTTTGCCTTCGCAAGCATTTGCACATTGGGACCTGAGAGCCGCAAGTGAATGCGGATGACCATACGAGTTGGGGAGGGGGGGGGTTACGTAATTTGAATGCTGGGGGCCCCAGGCATGTCACCACCACGTGCAGGCGTCGCCATGGTGCCGGCTCCGTGGAAGGCTGGCCTTTCACGTTGAACTTGGCGCCAAGGTGCTTCCTTCGACATACGGCAAAGGCTTTCACAAAGGCGTCCGCACCCGCACTCATGAAGCGGTCCTGCGGAGGTGCTCGATGTTGGCACTGCCGGTGCCTTCCAGTGCTTCTTTCAACTTCGCCCCAGCCGCCAACACCTTGCTCAATTTGCTCCGTTTCCAGCTGAAGGTGCGGGGGCTCTTCACAGTCACACGGTACAAGGGGACTGCGCTTGCGCGAACAAACTCCGCATCCCAGGCACGGAGTCTGGAAGCCACACGCGGCAAGAGACGCCAGCGCTGCTGCTTGCCAGCGCCATTCTGAAGAAGCCCCGCCTGCAAAAATCAAGATATCGTCTGAGCGAACTGTGCTCCCAGTTATACGCCTGCCTGTGGCCAGCGGGCTCGGCAGGACTGGCACATGTATGCACTCAATACACTGGGGCACTTTTGCTTGTATGTTCTACATGTTCCAGAACAGCGGTTGCTCAGCGACTGTTACGGCATGAAGCAGGCGCATGACAACGTGTTAACTGTTGTGCAGTTGCCTCTTGTCGTTCCTCTTTTTTGGGCGACATGCTCATCCGAAGCCTATGTTGAACCCGCAGCTCCGCACCGCACCATTCATGTCAAGATGAACTTGCGACGCACAAGTCAAATGGGTCATTGGCTCTTTCTGACTTGAATCAGCTAAAGGGTTTTGCCCATTTTGCACCCGCCCTTTTTCGAAGCACCCTGAATCCCAAGCCTTCAGCAGCGAAGCGCATGTCCGCTTGCCCTTTTCCCACTCCGCGTGCAATGGAACCGCGCTAGGCCTCAGGACAGCCGCGGTGCCTCACCATGGTCAGGTCTGTGGTCTATGGGATTCTGTGCATCCTCTGTGCGGCACACTCGGAACTGAGCTAAGCACCAGCCGCAGGGGCGCTTTCGGGCGGATGGTCTGCCATGAGAAGACAGCACCACACACAAAGGTCGGGGCACAACGGGCGCTTGAGGCATGGGCCTGGGCCATGTCAAAAGACGGCCTTATGGCAGAAACCTGAATGACATTGCCAATGCGCTGCTGGCATCGCACTGCTTCGTTCCCCATCGTTCTCCAATCCAGGGCACAGAGGGGCGAGGCCCGACAGATCGGGTGAATGTGTTGAGAGGACCCCGCGCCTCAACGACAGTGACAAAGTCTTTCATGCTTGCATCGCTGGCATGGTAATCAAGAGTGTTGTTTACGCTCTTAGGAGATCTCGTGCAGTCTCGATCTGGAAAGGCTCAGTCAGCTGCCAAGCCCAAAGGCCCGGTGCCCGACCCAGGCTGGAGGGCTTTCATCTTGGAAGCAGGTCTTGGACGTGCAGTTAAGACCCGCCCACTTGCAACGTGCTTGGTGCGAAACACCAAAACTCTGCACACACACACACACACACACACAAACCCTGCTTGTGAGAGATGTGAGGAAACAAACAGAAAGGAAGCATGGAGGGCAACGAGCTCGCTTATCGCCAGCTTCGCCGAAGCTTCGCCGGGGTGCTGAGGGCACGGCGGGCCGCCGCACAGAAGCTGCTGAGACTTCTAGCTGCTCTGCATCCGTGAGCACCAGGAACCCCGAAGCCGTCTCTGCCAGCACAGTGCCAATCTTCCACTGACCCTGCAGAAAAGCGAATCGAGAGTTCTCACTTTGCACTTCCATATGCGTTTTTTGCTGATTTGGGCTTGGTCGCTCACCCTCAAAACTGCTCAGTGCGAATTTCAGGCCAGGCCTGGCTCAGCACCTGGACATCCGAGCCGACCTAAACAAGCAAATGGAAATTTTGGGAGATGCTAGCAGCTTGAGGTGTTGTTTTTGGTGCCGCGGCAGTCCGCCCATTCCCGTCCGGCCCAGTGAATGAAGGATTTCTGAACTTTTTCACTGGAAAGCTGTACTAGTAGCGGGTGCACCAATCAAACTGACTCCGTCAAGGAGAACCTCAATCAACACCCACTGTTATTGCGTTCTGGAAGGTTCCGCGCCATCCGCGACACTTTTCACGAGCATTTCAATTTCCAAGCAATGCTTACAAGAACCGCAGCCTGCGACAACGACAGGCGCTAGATGCCATCGAGCAAGAGAAGTCACATGGTCATCAAAAGGAAAAAGCATGCAGAAGGAACACCCAAGAGTTTGAAAATGTGAGCTTGAGGCAAGGAAGCCCCCCCCCAAGCGAAGGAAATCGACACAGTGGAGAGCCTCTCCGACCAAGCCAAGATTGAAAAAGTCACTTCCTTGTTTTGGCGTTTGTCTGCCTTCTCGCACCACTGAGACTTCATTGCCGGTTGTTCATGCGGACGCGACATGGCACGACATGGCACGAAATGGCACGACATGTGAGCGGCATATGCGCATCCGGCCTCGAAGCTCACCTTAAGCTCCTGAAGAGCAAAGGGCCTGGGCACCACTGGGTTTGAGCCCAGGCTCACACCCGGGCTCGCGCCTGGGCTGACAGGTGCTTCCTTGGCCATGAGGGCCGCCGCAGCTTTGGCGGCTGCCTGCTCGCAAAAATCTCTCTGCCCTCTCGCGAAGGTCTGACAACCCGGCCTCTGCCAAGTTCAGTGGCCCAGCAGGCCGCACAGGCACTACGGGCCCTGTGGGGCTTGCTGCGGCTGGGGTGGCTGGGGTGGCAATTGGCGCGCTGCCAATACCAGCACCAGCACCTGCCAACTTTTGAAGCAGAATGGCGCAATTGATGTGACAAAGCCCACTAGGCGCCTTGAGGTCCATGAGCAAGCCTGGAAGCAGCTCACCAGCAACTGACGAAGCGTTCCCTTCTTTTTCAATTGGAGCTGTCCCATGTTGAATGTTCCGGCAGCGGAAGCTTGGGCGGATGCGTGGGGCTGGACTCGTCTGCCTTCAGGTCCTCCACGGACTCTGCCCATCTTTACCATGACAGCATGCTTGGTGGGCTTCAGCGCGCCTTGATGAGATCCTGAGGCAGTGAAGGCCCCGTCGGCGCTAATGGCGTGCTGCTGAAGTTCGTCTTTAAAGGGCCTGGGACGGTGCGTGCTCTGCTTTCTTCAGTTTTCAATTTGGGGGCACCGCTGACTTGGTGAGCGGCGCTTTGCCCGAGGCGGTGACCTGCAAAACGATACTAACATGCATCCCAAGCCTTATAATCCCACCTTTGAATGTCAGACAGCTTCTTACATCGGAGTCGGTCCTCTGCGAGCGCCGCGACCTTGATCGCGAGGACCGAGAGCATGAGCGGCGCCTGAGAGCACGAGAAAGGAAGCGTCCAAGATATCTTGCATCCCCTTGCATCCCATTGCATCCCTGCTATGATCTGCTACGCCTCCGGTCGCGCCGGTCCCGGCTCCGGTCCCGGCCACGCCGGTCCCGCCGGTCCCGCGGGTCGCCGCGGCCGTTGCGGCGGTCGCCGTCCCGGCCGTCACGGCCATCATGGCCCCGTCGACTCCTTGCGGACAGATCTCGCGGCTCGCATCGCGCATCTTACTGTTTCATCTTGCTTCGTCCTGTCACGCGTCCTCTGCCGGCTTCGACCTGAACCACGGCACAAAGTCTGAATCTTTTCTGACTCTCCCAAATGGACTCGCATGCGGATTCGAAGCTTGTGGCGCGCGGGTTTGATGGAAAATGAAAACACTTGGGAAAGGTGCCGCCCGATGCTTGAGTTCACATTGCATGCCCGTGCAACATCCGGTCCCCCGTTCTGTGAAAATTACGAAGCAGGACTGCAGCCAACTCCAGCCTCAGAGCATTTTGAATCTCCACACACGACGATCACGCGCACAATCGATTCACTTTGCGGCGAAAAAACCTCAACCGGACGTCGTCGCACAGCAGGCTAGAGGGTGCCACATTGATTCGTGAGCCCGACGCCAACCTTTGGTCAGCGCTTGCTCTTGACAATTCAGTACTGTCTGAAGTGGGAAACTGCTTCGTTTCGCGACTCCGGCTTCTGTTTGGGCTCAGTGCTGTCAGTGAGCACTGTTGGCAAACATGCAAACATTCAGCTCGATCGTACAAGATCAGTTTGTAAACAAGAACTCTCTGCATCTCTTTGGAAGTAGGCAGTGCCCAACCAATCCCCCCAGCCCCAGAGCGCAGGTGCGAGCGCAAAGAAGCGAGAAAGAGAAAGGAGAGCGAGCGAAAGAGTATATGTATATATGTATGTGTGTGTATTTATTGATTTCTTAAAAAGAAGAGCAAAGACGAGCGAGAGCTTGGAGAGTGCTGTGCAGGCTTGGCAGCTGGCGGCCGCGGCCGCGACTGCCTCGACTGCTCCGGGAGCCTTGGAGGGAAAGACCAAGAATGGAAACCACAAAATGCAAACACGCAAACACACAAGGCATGGCAAGAAGATGAAGACACTGAAAGAAGCGCGTAGTAAGTAGGTAGTAGCTGCTCAGGCACGAGGAGAGCGACAAGAAAATAAAGTATGCTTGCTGTGTTCGAGTTGTGTCTCTATCTAGAACTTACTTCTCCGGCGCATCAAGAACTCGTAGCAATGAAGGACAATAAACCTCAGAACTACGAAAGGTGCTTGCGGACCCCTTCAAAGGTACAGCACATTGAATCTTGAATGGCGAACCGCTGCACTAAAGAAAAAACCATGAATCCGATGTTGCTTGAGATTTTTCATGGTGCACAAGAAGGCCAAACTTTAGCCGCCTTATAGTGAGCCTGAGTGGGTGAAACTAGTAAACGAATGTAAAGCTGAAGTTGATCGCGCTGACCACGCCAATAATTTTCCAACAAACCATGAAGGAAGCACATTTTAACCTTTTATTGGATTTCCCCGGACCCTTTGATTCATAGGGAGAATAATTGGGCCTGAGTTTGTTGGGCGATATAATACAAATTCATGATATGTATTGTCGTTGTAGTCTCACGGCCCAATGAATTCCCCCCGCCTTGTCGGCTGCGACCGCACTCCTTGCTCCCCTTGACCTTCGCTTCCTTCTGCGAAAACTTCTGCGGAGCCTTCTCCCCCCTCCTCTGATTCTCCTTCTCATCAGCCAGGTCTTTCTCCCTCTCGGCTTCAGCTTCGGCAAGTTTTGGCTCCGGTACTTCCGGCGTCTCCTCAGGAGCTGCCTGCTTCTGCTCCGGCGGCTCCGCGTGCGTCTCTGCTGGCGGCTCCGCAGCAGGCTCTGCGGGCGGCTCCGCGGGAGGCTCCAGCTGCTTGGACGCTTGCGCGTGTGCCAAGGCCTGCTCCCGCAGAGCCGCTGCATGCACCTCTCGCGCCAGCTGGGCCTGCAGCTTCAGCGCCTCCTCAAAACCGCTGACATGTGACACGAAAAATATGAGCAATGTGCGAAACGGATTCAGGCAAAATCTGCCTCCAGAGGATCTGGTGGTGGTTCCTCGCTATTCAGCTCGACTGCAAAGCACCTGCCGCATTGGCCTTTTTTGGCCATTCACCGACCGCATCCATCTAACTTGGGGAATTCCGATGTTCTTGGTTTGCCATCCATCTCTCAGTGCCATGCATTCTGGACTCCAGCGTGTTTGTGGCTGCCTCGCAAGCAGCACGCTTCGGTTACATGCCGCTGTTGGTTGTTTTCCGTGTTCTTTCTGTTGCCTGGCGTGCCTTGATCTTCAGCGGCAGCACCACCAAGCTCTTTTCGGGCACCGCCACGTCCAGGCCGCGCTTCACCCGCGCGATGCCTCCAGAACCGTCCTGGAAAAAGAAAGGATATGAGCAAAGAAAAACTCGAGCAGCGATGCCGACGAAAAACACACGCGCACACGCAAAGACTGTCAGAGTGCATTTGTCCAAGGAGCCACGATCCTGCCTCCGCCCCCGCCTGAGTCCCTGCCCTTTGCCCCACGAACGAAAGTTTCCGTCGAATCTTTGACCAGTTGCGAGAAGTTTTATGTGAAAAGCACACATCACGGGGCGTTCTGATTAAAAAATCATCCCTAGCCTCCGCTTCCGCCGTAGGCGTGTAGCGGTCCCCGGGCCGCTCTCCGCAAGCATTGCACGCCAGTTTTGCGCCGGCCCGGCTGGCAATGTGATCTTCGATGTATGCGAAGTTCCGCAACAGTTCTATAACCACTTTTCTCAGCCTTGTCTGGGAGAGGGAGCCGGGTCATTCTGGTGAATTTGTCGTCTTTTCCGACCGCTACCATATCTAGATCCGCGACCATGAAGCCGACGAAAATCACCACAATCTACTCTCAAGTACGGGGAAGTACGTTTGCCACCTCAGCCAACCTCAACAGTCACAGTAACTGTCAGCTCAAGGTCTGAATCGCCCAAGCCGACTCCCGCTTCTCCAGTAACTAAGTAACCGACGTCACCTGCTAGCAAGACGTAGCTATGTGTTGAACGGGCTGCGAGAAGCCCATGTTCCCAAAAGCGACACATGTAAACAAATCACCGTACAGGAAGCCGTAATTTTGGGCATGGTGAAAGGTCAATCGAAATTGCTTGCTTTGGTCTGGCGATGAAGAGGATGCACTGCTCGGAAGTATCTGCCAAGAGAATATGTCTCGACTGATAGTACTTCGCTATCGTCGATTTGATGTCTTCACAGGCCGGAGGTCATGTTCAACAAAATCGAACTTTATGACCAGACCACAAGCTTCACCAAATCTAATCTTGTCATGCAAGCCAAACAAGCCAAGCAAGCAAGCAAAGCATCTTCCGACTGAAAGCAGTCCGCCGTTCCTCCCCTACTGTACAAGCAGTCCCAGGACAGCCGCTTGCAAACGACCGAAAAAGGACTTTAACCGAACATTGGCGCAGCACTGGCGAAGCGGATTTTTGCGTGGGCTTCGTGTCGGCAAGCAAGTGTGTCTCTATTCTTTCTTCGCCTTGAGCCCGGTGCCGTTGGAAGAGAGGTCCCGCAGGCACCTCGGAACTAAAAACGCGCTAACATCTGTATGTGTCTACAACATGACCAATCCAAAGAAGCCCTCCTGAGATGGGAACGTTACCACTTCTCAGATAGAACTCCCGAACCTAATCTAATGATTTACGCTTAGGGCGTGACAAGATACCGCTGGCCCCCAGCCGCAGCTCCGCATGCACCCAACTCACACCCGGCCTCGATGCGAAATGAAGTTTTACGAAGCTCTTACAAGACTTGACTGCTTTCGCTTGGCCGCCAGGCAAGTCCACGGCCACATCGCTCGCGGGATCCCGGCCGATACGGATGCAATCCTGGAACCAACTCATGTGCCGTCCTCCTTTCTGCACTGCGTGTTGTCTTAATGAAAGCCGTCCTCCTGTCGCAGCGTGTGGTGCTGCGGATTGCCGCCATTACTGCCGAAGCGCAATGTGATTTGCACGGCATGGCTCATTTCGGGGTTTGAGGTAAGTGGGAATCACGTGAAGATGAGCTTTCCATATCTTTCCATCACGTTAATTGTACTTTGCTGCTACATCTCCTATACCATCCTGTAAATAAAGCACGTTGCTGAAGTATGACCCCTTGCTCCGCCGGAAACATCATACAGTTTCTCATGTGACAAGAGCGCAAGGAATCACCCCCTGACAAGTACGCACCCAAAAAGCGCGTGAAAGTTTGTCCTTTCACGTGTTGTCAGAGCGACGTGGAGGGCAGCTAGAAGGGTCACTGCGGAGGACACTGTTGGCAAGGAACCAGCGGTCATCGACATGCACCTGGCCTTACTGCAAGAAGCGAGCATGTCGTTTGTTTTTGGTGCGTCTATGGCGATAGCACGTGCCTATGGAATGAGTCGGTGCGTGCACGATGGTTTACGATGGTTTATATTGCTGAAGAGTTTGTCGCGCGATACTAGGATGGAACAACCAATCCTGAACACCCTTTGTTTTTTCCCACACGCCTTTTTACATCAGCGGTCTCCGACGCCCAGCGCAGCGGCAGGCGGCTGGGTCCCTCCGCGTAAGCAAGAGCCAGGACCTCATCCAGCTCTGGCGCCGCGGTCAACGCGGGCCCCGGAGGGCCCGCGCGCATCCAAGGGCTGTGTGGCCGACCGCCAGCTGCACGGAGACGGAGTGCAGGCTCCACCAGCGACGGACCCATGCTGTTCGCGCAGGGGCCCTCACGCCTGGTGGGGCGCGGTGCGCGCGGAAGGCGACCACGCCGAACCAGCTTCACCGCATCCTCGTGCCACCGCCCTCCCACCTCGCAACCGAGGACGCATAGGCCCTAGGCTTTGCGCGCCACCGGCCACCAATTCGGGGTAGGTGGCGTGTTTACTCCGTGCGGCCGCCCTCAAGACAGCCCCACCCACCGCCGCCGCACCAGGGTGGGGCGCGCCGTCGCGGTTCAAAGGCGAAACGAGGGTCGCGTCGCAGCGTGTCGGGGTCGCTTGGGATGGCTTGGAGCCAGGCAGCAGCATGTGGTCCTGCTTGGGATCGCAAGAACGCGCGATGGGATGGCGGCAGGGAGGGCAACAACACGCTGTCGCGGAAGAAGGCGTTCCGTGTACGCGACGCACAGTGTTGCCACCCATGCCTCCACTCACCGGGCTCGGCGGTCCCTTCCTGTCGGTCGGGTGCGCGCGCCCACTTGGACGACGAGCTCCCACAAAGACATATCTGCCCACCTCTAGCAGGCGGCGTGCCTCTGAGGCCGCCTGTAGGCACGCAGGCCCCTGCCCATCAGTTAAGCAGCGGGCGGCCCACTGTGCAAACGCGGGACAGCGCTCGCGGAGCACCGTGAGGGCATCTGCCCACGCGGCCCAATACGCGGTGCCGCTGACGCGCGTGGCCTGTGAAAGGCCCAAGCCTCCGAGGCCAGCGGGGCGCAAGGCTATGTCCCTGGCTGGGCATGCCGCGTCCTCCGCGGGCGAGCCCAGACACGCCTGTGCCCCATCAACGGCGGGACCAGCCCGCAGCGGCCGCGCGGCGAAGAGCGGGAGGCGCTGGCTGCGATCGGACGCGCAGGAGGTGATGCACGAAGCGGCCAGCTTCGCGATTCCAGCCCCCCCCGATCTCCGCGCCCAGCATCACGCGCTCCTGAGGCCCCGCGCTGCAGAGCTCCGGGTAGGTGGACCGCATGCGGCGCTCGGCCACCCGGAGCACGGCTCCGTCCGTATCAGCGGCGCCCAGCTGTGGATGCCCTGCCCACGCTAGTGGAGAGACGAAAGTGGCATCGCAGCACAATGACCCCCCCCCCGCGTGGCGCCATACACGACTAGGTCGAGTCCTTTTCGGTCATCGGCGGGCACTGGTGCAGTAGTGTGCGCCAGCCACGGGGGGGGATGACTTGCCCCTCCAACCGCCTCGCGGGCTGCGCGTAACCGGGATGGGTCTGCACGCGCGGGGCCCGATCGTGCTGCAGCCGACGCGGGACGATGCAAGCGCCACTAACCCTGAGCTACTGGCGTCCCGACGTTGCCGGCTGGTCGTCCTGGCAGTAGAGGTCGGCGGCTGTTTCGGCGCTCGAAGGCCAGCGCAGCTCCTGCGCGGCTCCGGCAGGCGCGTCAGAATGTTGGCTGTCGCCGCCCAGCGAGCCCTGGCTCGGTCGTTGTTGGAGCTCCCCTTTGCGATGGCGGACGAATACAAATCACACTAGACTAAACCATCTCTGGCGGAATTTGGCGGATCTCGCAGGCCCTGCGGGCCCTAGTCGCCTGCCGCTGCGACCGTAGCCACGCAGGCGACGTGCAGGCGACGTGCTGGCGCGTCGATGCAGCCCTGCAGGCGGACAAGGGGCGCGGGGTGACAAAAAAAAACGACATGCTCGTTTTTTGCAGTAACGCCAGGTGTTTGTCGATGACCGCTGGTTCCTTGCTGCCAGCAGCGTGCCTCCACGGTGGCCTTTTTTTTTCTTTTTTTTGCCTTTCTCGCTGCCCTCCACGTCGCTCTGCCAACACGTGACAAGACAAAGAATGTTCAAGCGCTTTTTGGGTGTTTACTTCTCTGGGGGTGATTTGTTGCGATTGTCACATGAGAGACAGTTCATCTGCGACTGCATCACATATACTCATCACATTGCACCAAGAGGACGTCCAACAAAAACAAAGTCACGCCGCGTGGTTCCCATACTGGTCGACCTGTTGGCCGCAACCAGGGCGTGGGCTGCAGTGGTTGAGCTAAGCGGCAGGGACAAACGCAGGGGAAGGAGCAACGCGAGCTGCATGGCCTGCGGGGCAAGAGTTTGTGCAACTTTGGTTTTTTGTGCAGCTTCGCATGGCGCTGCCGAGAGCCTGGCACCATCTGGCACCCGTGTGCCGCCGGCTTTGCAAGCGTAGCAGCGCTTGGGATGCTGCAAAGCCGGCTGCAAGCAAGGCCGACGCGCGTAAGCCGAGACACATGCATTCTGCATTGGTGGTAAAGCTGACCGAGTCGATCATGCTCGGTGGCGAACAGGGGGGGAGGCAGCAACTTCTGCCGACTACCGGCCACCCGTCCCAAATGCATCCAAATGCGCTCCACAAGGCAGCTCCGGCAATCCTCCGTTCCTTATGGCCTCGACGCGGTGGTCCCCAATGCGTAATTCCGAGTCCTCCTGCTGTATCCTGCTGTGGCGCTTACGACTGACCTTCCTGCGCGCGCCGCGCAGATGCAGCTGCCACGGAAGGTTAGACCCCCTCGGCGACCAACGCACAGATTGTGCCACCTCCGGGGTCGTTGCCGCGCGTTGCCCCTAGAGCAAGTCGTTGCAGGGGTCTGGCGCGAAGATGGTGCCTGGATCGCGGGGCAGGTCAAGCTGGTTTTTTTTTCTCCACACACGCCTTTTT